ACTCTAGCTGCCTCCTGTGATTGGAACGAGGGGGCCCTACGTTCCAGATTTTTTGAGGGCCTGAACGAAGAGATCCAAGATGAGCTTTCTTCTCATGAGCTCCCCCATAACCTTGAGACCCTTATTAACCTGGCACTCCGTGTGGAGGGGCGCCTCCGCCGCCACTGGCGGTCCATTCACTCCTCCTGGAGGGTTAATGACCTTCCCCTCCAACAATCTAGCTCTTCTACTCCTCCCTCACCTGAACCTGAGCCCATGCAAATGGGTCGTATGCGCCTTACACCTCAAGAAAAGAGGGACCGTCTTGCCCGTGGTCTATGCCTCTACTGCGGAAAACCAGGGCATTTTGCCGTCAAGTGTCCTTTAAAAGCCAAGGCCCATCAGTGAACCGGGGGATCCTGGTGGGCGCCTTTCCCTGTCTAGACTCCCCCCGCTCTCGCACCCTGTTGCCCATCACCATCCAGTATGAAGGATCCACTAATTCGGCCTCTGCCTTGCTTGATTCAGGGGCCGAGGGTAACTTTCTAGACCGTGCCATTGCCAAACAGTGGGGCATTCCTGCCGTTCCTCTCCCTTCCCCCATTTCTGTCTGGTCATTAGCTGGTCAGCTTCTCTCCACCATCACCCACATCACTCCCTGTGTAAGTCTTGTCGTTTCCGGCAATCACCGTGAGGCCATTGAGCTGTACCTTTTTGACTCGCCGGGTTCCCCTGTAGTCCTGGGGCATCCCTGGCTGGCACAGCACAATCCTCACGTTGATTGGTCTGGAGATTCTGTGTTGGCCTGGAGTCAGTCTTGTCATGTATCTTGTTTGGGTTCTGCCTTGTCTCCTGGTTCTTTGTGTTCTGTGTTGCAGGAGGAGACAGCCGATTTAACCAAGGTCCCGGTTGAGTACCATGGTCTTCGTCAGGTCTTCAGCAGGTCTCGGGCTGGGTCTCTCCCTCCTCATCGACCATATGACTGTGCCATTGACCTCCTCCCAGGCACTTCTCCGCCCAAGGGTCGCTTGTATTCCCTTTCTGGTCCAGAGAGAGAGGCTATGGATAGGTATATTCAGGAGTCACTTAATGCCGGTCTCATCCGTCCCTCATCATCTCCTGCAGGTGCTGGGTTCTTCTTTGTTAAGAAGAGGGATGGCTCCCTGCGTCCCTGTATTGATTACAGAGGGCTAAACGACATTACGATAAAGAACAGGTACCCCTTACCTCTCATGTCGTCTGCTTTTGAGCTGTTGCAGGGAGCCCAGGTCTTCACCAAGTTAGACCTTCGTAACGCTTATAACTTGGTACGCATTCGTGAGGGAGATGAGTGGAAGACAGCCTTTAATACCCCTACGGGACACTTTGAATATCTGGTCCTTCCCTTTGGTCTGACAAATGCACCAGCTGTCTTCCAGGCCCTGGTTAACGACGTGCTGAGAGACATGGTAAACAAGTTTGTCTTTGTGTACCTGGATGATATTCTCATTTTCTCATCCTCTTTACAGGAACACACTCAGCATGTGCGTCAGGTCCTCCAACGGCTACTAGAGAATCAGCTCTTTGTTAAGGCGGAGAAGTGCGAGTTCCACGCTAGGTCGGTTGCGTTCCTGGGGTATGTCATCTCGGCTGAGGGAATCCGAGCTGATCCTGATAAGGTAAGGGCCGTTGCCAAATGGCCAGTCCCCAACACCCGCAAGGCCCTGCAGCGTTTCCTGGGTTTTGCCAATTTCTATAGGCGTTTCATCAGGAACTTTAGCCAGATTGCTGCACCCTTAACGGCTCTCACCTCCACCAAGGTATTGTTCAAGTGGAATACACAAGCTCAGGAGGCCTTTGGTGCCCTTAAGTCCCGTTTCACCTCTGCTCCTGTTCTTTCTATTCCAGACCCTGAACAACAATTTATTGTTGAGGTAGATGCCTCTGAGGTTGGGGTAGGCGCGGTCCTGTCTCAGCGCTCATCCAAGGATGGGAAGGTGCATCCTTGTGCCTTTTTCTCTCATCGCCTGAGCCCAGCAGAACGTAATTACGACATCGGTAACAGGGAGCTGTTGGCAGTCAGGCTGGCCTTGGGTGAGTGGCGTCACTGGCTGGAGGGTGCGGCGCACCCCTTCTTGGTCTGGACGGACCATAAGAACCTTGAGTATGTCCGTTCGGCCAAGAGGTTGAGCGCACGCCAGGCTCGCTGGGCACTCTTCTTTGGTCGGTTCAACTTCGTCCTCTCGTACCGGCCAGGGTCAAAGAATATCAAACCTGATGCCCTCTCACGACTGTTCGAGACCCCCAGTGGGGAGACCCCGGTGGAGTCCATCCTCCCTGAGGGAGTGGTTGTTGGGTCCCTCTCCTGGGGCATTGAACAGCGGGTAATAAAGGCCGGTCAAGGGATTGAAGTACCAGAGGGGTGCCCGGAGGGTCGGTTGTTTGTGCCGGTTGCGCTGCGTTCCGAGGTTCTCCGGTGGGGCCATGAGTCCAGGTTGGTTTGCCACCCAGGAATTTGGAGATCACTGGCTGCCATCCGCCAGCGATTTTGGTGGCCCTCTCTAGGGTCGGACGTCAGGCAGTTTGTGTTGGCTTGCTCGACATGTGCCCAGAACAAGACCTCTAACAAGGCTCCTGTTGGTCTGCTCCGGCCCTTGCCCATCCCTTCTCGTCCTTGGTCACACCTGGCCCTGGACTTCGTTTCTGGCCTCCCTCCCTCAAGAGGAAACACTGTCATAATGACTGTAGTGGACCGTTTTTCTAAAGCAGCCCATTTTATCCCCTTGCCCAAGCTCCCCTCAGCCAAGGAAACAGCCCAAGCTATGGTTGATCATGTCTTCCGGATTCATGGTCTTCCGGTTGATGTGGTTTCTGATAGGGGACCACAGTTTGTTTCCCAGTTTTGGAAGGAATTCTGTCGGCAGATCGGGGCCTCTACGAGTCTGTCCTCAGGTTTTCATCCTCAGACCAACGGGCAATGTGAACGAGCCAACCAGGATCTCGAAAGAGCCCTCCGCTGCCTGACCTCCCAGAATCCTAGTTCCTGGAGCCAACAGCTCTCGTGGGTGGAGTATGCCCACAATTCACTGCCGGTAACGTCTACAGGTATGTCCCCATTCCTCTGCTCTATGGGTTATCAACCGCCTTTGTTTCCTTCACAGGAGCCCGATGCTGCAGTTCCGTCTGCCTTGGCCTTTGTCCGACGGTGCCGCCGCACCTGGATGAGAGCTGAGGAGGTCTTGGCCCGGACCTCTAGACGAATCAAAGCAGCAGCTGACCGTCATCGGACTTCCCCACCTCAATATGTTTGTGGTCAGAAGGTATGGTTATCAACCAAGGACTTGCCTCTCAGGGTGGCCTCACGCAAGTTGGCACCCAGGTTCATTGGTCCATACTGCATCACCAAGGTCTTGAGTCCGGTGGCGGTTAAGCTCAAGTTACCTCCCACACTTGGTCGGGTACACCCTGTTTTTCATGTATCCAGGGTTAAACCTGTGTTCAGATCCAATCTTAACCCCATTATCTCCTCCCCTGCCCCTCCTCCCCCCCGCCTAGTGGATGGCTCTCCTGCATACACTGTCAGGAGGTTGTTGGATGTCAGACGCCGGGGCCGGGGTTTCCAGTATTTGGTGGACTGGGAGGGTTATGGTCCTGAGGAGAGGAGTTGGATTCCAGCTCGGCATGTTCTGGATCGGGCGTTGGTCGTGGACCTTCACCGGCGACTGGGTAAGCCCCTCCCCTGAGACGCCAGGTGGCGTTCGTAGGGGGGGGGGTACTGTCATGGTCTGTCACCTGCATGTTGTCACAGTCATTCGTGTTTGTTTTCTCGTAGCACATGGCATTGTTTTGACAGCGCGCCATGTGCTCCACTGCCTCACTCCACCCACTTATCAGGTTACTCATTAGATCATTATTTCATTATTCGCACCTGTCTCTAGTCTTAGCCTTATGAGTCTCCCTATTTATTCTCCTCTCTGTCATTGTCTTGTACCGGGTCGTTAGTGTGTTTACCTCACGCGGTGGCCTCTTAGATCGTGTCCTGTCTTGTATCCATTTTTGACTCCAGTGCCAGTTTTTTGATTTCGATTTTGTGGTTTGGACTGTTTCCTGTTTTTTCCCCTTTTATCAGATCGCCCTCGCTGCTATCAGTTGTGGTAGACGCTTCCCTCTCCACTTCCTGCTTCAGCCTTTTCTATTCCGCCCACCAGCGATCTTCTCCCTCTCTGGCCGCCTTGTATCCCGCCCGGGCGCTTTCACTTCGGCTGCTGATACTGCTGTGTTTCCCGTTTGACTGGAGAGTTGGACCACCGTGCGCCTCCTGCTGGAAGCACTTTATATTGCCCTTCACCTGAGTTACCCATTTCCTGTTTTTTGACTGCGAGTTGGACTGCCGTGCGCCTCCTGCTGGAAGCACTTAGTATTGCCTGTAATTATACCTTCTGTTTTTGCCCCTTTTTGACTGGCGACTTTGGATCGCTGAGCGCCCTCTGTTGAACTTTCTTTATTTATTTTTTGCCAGTATTTTGTGCTTTTTCTGTGGCATTTACAGCACCCTGTGCTGAGAATTTTTTGTTGTATAATATCCCCTCTGCAGGCCACTTTAGTAATAAATAATTCTGTTTTTCCCTGCATTTGATTCCTCCTGATTTTTTATACTGACACTTGTATGACAATTATGTAATATTATATTATAATTATGTAATATATATACACACACACACACACACACACACACACACACACACACTGAGAACATTGTATGTGTAAATATTTTTTTTTACAATAATTATGCATCAAAATGAATGTTGTTTCTTATTCATATAATTAAAAAAGTCTGTAAATAAATTGTAATTGTAAAGGGTAAAATCTTTCAAATTAATGAATTGTCGTTAGTTATAATCAGGGCTGATGCTGAACAAAAAAAATCTATTTAGGTGGAAATAAAATTCAAATTACAATATGACACTTTCATATTTTTTATACTGACATGTTTTCCTCTATGTGTCTTTATAAATATATAAGCATTAAGCCAGAGAGCTTACAGTAATAGATTTCTGCTCCAGATCTACTCCTCCAGCAATGCTGAAACCCAGTCCAGCTCCCTGCTCTTTGGTTAAGATCACAAAGTAAACGTCATCTTTAACCTAGATATAAAGATTCATGGAAGACTGGTTAACCTTTTAGAAAAAAGAAGAAATATACACAGGCTACACAGCAATAAACAGGGCCTATGAGAAACAATTATTCTTATGTTAAAATACACTGATAAAAAGTAATATTTTTTTAATAAAATGTTATAAACTTTATAAATAAGTATAAGTCAAAACACAAGCAATTTTGTAATCACTACTGCTATTTCTGAAGCCTTATCTTCACAAAAAACAAATATCTGAACATCAGATGGTCTTTATACCTTATATATTAGTTTTCAAAATAGACATGAAAACAATTTAATATATATTTAAACAAATCATTCTGAATACTTCTTTGGGAACATAAAAAACACAGTGAAGCCTCAGACTTGATAAATTACCTCAGAAGTAGCGTTTGCTTCCTGTATGAGACTTGTCACATCCACTTTGGTTGGGAGGGAACACAGAACATCATTAACTTTGTTTTGGTCCAAAGGAGAAAATTCAAGGTCTTTCAAACTGTTGTGGAAGACAAACAACACCAGATATCAGTTTAATAGCACTTTTCTCCTAGCCAGGAATGTATTAAAATGTTATCAGCTAATAGTTGTTGAAAATATCTTGGGCCTGGTTTTCATCAAGCAGAAACCCTTTACTGTGTCATAAAATACAGCTCTGGAATAATTACTATGGCATGTGCTGAAATACATAACCCAAACACTGTTTAAAACACCAGTAGAAGTAAAAAGACACATTCTTGAATCAACATCTTTTGTTGATCCTGTAACAATATTCCTTGTCCAAAGATTTTGTCTTGACCACTACTCATAAACAAATTCCTAAAACGAATTACCCTTAAATCAGAGGGAAGGTGAACTGAAGGTAAATAAGAGTGATTTATATGCCCCTAACCCTTATTTTACGCATAATCTTAAAATGATTAGTTCACACAAAAATATATATATTTTTTTATAGACATTAGTTCATCTGTGGAACACAAATGGAGATATTTTAGTTCAAATCAGAGACATCTCTCATTCAACATTCAAGTGTAAATGAGCAACCTGACCTGATGCAGAAGACATTGACTAAGTTTAATGGATTGACATTGACTAAGTTTTGATCGATTACATGGACAGCAGTAATCAAATTATTTGCCTAATTAATCTAATTAATCGAATAATAAGACTAAGGTGTTTACATGAGTTACTTTTTGAATGTTCCTTTCATGATCCCGTTTTACATGTAATAGCACATCATTCGATTAACATCATCGCATCATTGCGCTATTTGCATTTCCTCCAAGGTATAATGTAATTTCGGGTGTTTTATTTTAAATTTGTTGACTTTAACTGCAGTTTGGCACTTTCACTTTCATTCACGAACATTTCATGTGCGCCCTCCGTGACAAACCAGATATTGAATGCAACTATGATCTGCTGGAAGTGTTGTTTCAATGGAAGTTCATACACCATGCTGAATGGAAGAAAAAAAAACTCAGCATTTCACGATGCAGGTGTCTTTGGTCTGCACTGACTGGGTAGGTGCAAAGAGTGTCCAACAACCTTGTGTGTGTGTGTGTGTGTGTGTGTGTGTGTGTGTGTGTGTGTGTGTGTGTGTGTGTGTGTGTGTGTGTGTGTGTGTGTGTGCTCTCCTCTCATAAATCTCGGTGTAAAGTCCTCTATGACGATAATAGTTTGACTAAGGTGTTTAAATGTCTGTACTGCACTTCAATAATGCGACTAAAATCAGCATACTCCACGTCTTAATTCTATTTCTCTTTAGGTCGATTAATCTGATAAATTTAATCAAAAATAGCTGTTTACATGGTCGACGCTTAATCAGAGTATTGTCTTAATCGAATACAATCTACTTATTGGTGTCCATGTAAACGTAATCATTGACAAACAAAGTTGTTTTTACAGTTTTTTTTAACACACAAATGTGTTCTCTGAGCCTTATCTGTTAACAGTGAAACCACTGAAGTCACATGAAAACATTTTATTGTTTCTTTTTAGATTTATTTTTAGCCTTTTTGCCTTTATTAGATAGGACAGTATGGAGTCAGTAAGGCGAAGTGAGAGAGAGAGAGAGAGAGAGAGAGAGGGGAGGGGGGGGGGGTAGGGTTGGGAAATGTCCTTGAGCCAAGATTCGAACTCAGGACACCCCGATGTGCATATGCACCATATGTCAGCGCGCTAACCACTAGACTATTGCGCCAACATGAAAATATTTCATAAATATTTTTGGTTCCTTTTCTAGACATTTCTGGATCATTGCTGTCAGGGTAGGATGAGGAAGCTCTTAGATTTCATCTAAAATATTTTTGCTTGTGTTACAAAGATGAACAAAGGTCTTATGGGATTGAGGCATGATGGTGAGCAATTTATTAAAAAAAATAATTTTTGGGTGAACTGACCTTTTAGCATGAACTGCAAAGTTTATAAACTGGTTGATTAAAATGCTATTGCAGGACCAACAAAGTTGAAGATACAGGAATAAGTTTTAATCTCTTTACCTTATAGACCAGCATGAGAGCCCTGTGTCCTGGATTTCATGGTGTTCCCCATTGCTGGTTGATCCAAGCGCCCCGAGATCTACACTGCTCACCCTGGTCACCACAGTGCACTGTGAAGATGGGTCTATGGACCTGCGAGGGTTAATTTCCAACTCTGTCTTAAAGATCACATTTCCAGGGTCACTGGTAAAATCCTCAGTACATAGCTTGTCCAGTTCAGGCATGCTCAGCGCTTTTATCTCTCTTAATTTGGAGCGTGACAGACCCCCATGGGCGCGGGCATTGCGGGAGCGCAGCACTGGAGGTGTGTGTACAGTGGGCTGGTTCTGAGAGGTCTCATTTTTCATCTCCTTCATAACAGTCTCTGTGGTTTGGTTTGATGGAGTTGATTCACAGTTGGTGGCAGTTGAACTGGTGGACCAATTCTGTAGAGATGGAGTTGAGCTCAAATTGTCCACACAAGAGCTGAAACTCCTCCTCAACGAACGGCTGTCTATAGACTGACTGCTAACAGATCCAGCATACCCCGACAGTCTGCGATTTAAAGTTGGCTTAGAGTTAACAGCATAAAAGGGTATGTCTATACACTTTATAACAGATCGATCAAAACTGGCCAGGCTCTCAAAAGACTGAATTCTTTGACGAACTGAGAAAGGGTTTGTGTCTAGAGATCCACCAGCATCTGTAGAGCAGCTTCGGCGGTCTAGTCCTCTTAAATACAGCTTGGATTTGCTTGTTTTGAGATTAGAAGCAGCATCTTTATTAGTTGAGTTCCTAAGGAGACTTTCCTCCTGGCCATTGCAAAACACCTTTTCAGCTGTTTCATTTGCCTTATTATCACCATTCTGCTGGGCAGAACTAGATGAAGAGTTGACTGATTCTAATGGGATTGTGTGACTTCCTAAAGAGAAGTCTGAATTTGATTCCTTCCACTTGATAGAATCAACTGACAGTGAAGCTAAGCTTAAATGACTTGCATTCACCACTTCCTTGCGAGCCAGCACAGGTGTAGATGACGAAGACGATGAAAGTCGTACTTCAATGAAAGTTCTTTGAGTGTTGCCAACAGTGACTTCTGGTTTTGAAACCTGCTGCTTCAGATCCAGTGCATCCTCTTTCTTTAACGGTTTGAGTTCTTCTTTGGCAGTGTTGATGGGATTTACCTTAGAATTAGTGGAGACTGTTAATTGATTTTGGTCAGTTTTACAACAAGAAACCCTGCTTTTCTCAGAAGATCTGGTGGATTTAGGGCTACCAGTTGGTGTGGTTCTTTTGGAGTGGAGTTTAGGTGACTGACTTGGGGAGACGAGAGATTTTCTCTGTACTGGACTCTCTGCCCTGGGCGATCTAGACACTGGCTGTTCTTGGTCCTTGCATTTACTTTTAATACTTAGACCCTTGAGTTTAGAGGATGTGTTTGACTTTTTATCATCCACTTTGAGTCTACCTCTCAGCAGGGGTGAGACAGGGGAGTCATTAGATGATTTAGTTCCCAAAGATCTCACAGATGTAGCAGATTTACTCTGGTTCTGAGAAAACGTGGATTTCAAGTCCAGCGTGGAAAGAACTTTTTCTTTCTCTTTTGAAGCAAGTGCAAGAGAGGCCTGCCCACTACTTTTGCCATTGGCATAATGTGATGCATTGGGCTCTGACACAGTCAATTTCAGTGGCGCTTGCCCAGTGTTGAGTTTTTCTGCAGATCGAGATGCTTCAGAGAGCAGCCTAGCTGTCCTGTCTTGACTTCTTGGTGTGACGTGGCAGTTGTTTTGAGTAACAGGGGTATCTGTTGGTGTTTGACAGGTTTGAAAAGATTTTGACATAGTTTCACATTTTTCATCATCGCTGCAGTTTGGCTGTGTTATTTTAGACACACACACCGCCTCCTGCTGTGTGGGAGCATGTCCAATTTTCCCATTTAAAAGATCTTTGCCTGAAACTTCATGACAAAGGGGATCTTGTGGATCTCTGTCTTGTGCTGAGACTGATGAAGGCTTGTGGAGATCTGTACTAGTCAATAATTTTGCTCCTGGCTGATCAACAGATTGCCTAGTGGCACAGCCATTTCCATCTGGCAGAGAACTTCCCTCTGATTGGCTGAATGCAGACTGACTGACAGTGCTGAAGCAAAGCTCAACTTCTTCTTCATCTGTGTCAGTGTCACGAGGACCCTCACTATGACCTTGAGACTTTTCTATTTTTACAGCGCTGTCTGTGGAGTCACTCTCAGAGTCACTATCCACCATACTGTACATACTAGGTTTATGTCCATCTCCTTTCTGTAATGGGACAATGCTCTCTCCCAGATTACTAAAGTTCCTTGAGTAACTATTTAAAAAGGTCTTTCCTAGAGGAAAATGGCAAGTACCGTTTCCCATATCTAATGCAGAAAAATCCAGAGGGTTTGGTTGTGATGGGGCTCCAGTTCCTCGGTCATCTTTTTTACTGTACTGTTCTGCACTTTGGTCTTTCACTTCGCTTTCTGCTGAGTTCAGTTCACTTACGACATCATCAATATTAGTGACAGGCATGCTGTGTGTTGTTACTGCCTGTTTCGCGTTTGCATGTTCTGATGAAGGGATTTGAGTTGTGTCCGTATGATTCCTTTCTTCTGGTGAAGGTCTAGATGCCTCCAGTTTAGATGAGCTTTCACAGCCAGAGGACATAATCAGGCTAGAAAGTCGATCTACAGCTGTGAATGTGAACAAAAATACAACATAGTTGCATATTATACAAATATTTGTAAATTATACAACACAGTTCAACATATATGCCAATTTTCATATCAATGACACACTGTAAAACCCAACAGTCAACTTTATCAAATGAAATGAGTGTAGTTAACTCACAATTTAGTGAAAGTTAATTTTACTCATATGAAGAGTTTTGAACTCAGCGTTGAAGGTAACAAGTAAATTAAATACCTCATTACTTCAACTTAAATGGAGTAAGTTCACAGTACTTTTATAGATTCCTTTTTTTCAACTCAAATGGTTTGTAGCAATCGGTTTCCTCAAACGGTTTGATTTGCCTTAACTTATTGGGTTTTACAGTTCTCGTTTGGTTTCGGTTCTCTTTATTTATTGTGTTTTACTGTGCTCAAATTGGTTCATTTACTCAAATGGACTAAGTTCACAGTACTCATTAGGATTAGTTTTTTTTAACTTAATTGGTTTGTTGCAATCGGTTCCTCAAATGGTTTGAGTTACCTTAACTTTTAGTGCAGGTAATTTAACAGCAAAAGAGTACTGCTGAACATGATGAATTGATGACCATACAAGTGCACTACTGTGGTCTGCTAGACAGGTTGCCTGCTTTATAAATCAACATTCCACTGGGAAACTATTCAGACTTAGCAAAATATTCCATTCTCACTCAAGTATGTGTATCGAATTAAGCTAAAAACAACAGAGCCATCCACCTGCAGTCCATTCCATTGTCTGATTTTTCACAGATTCAAAAATACTGTTCTGAATGTGTTGTTATTGAGTCTTATTTGAATCCAGAATTGTATTATTAAACACAGTTAGAACATTTAAGCCACAGCTAAAAGTCCCAAAGGCAATCCAAACAGAAAGAATTGTTGAATTGTTTGAGATCATGCAAAACTGATATCCTCATGGCATGTTTTCAGTGGCATTATTATGTTTTAGCTGAAGCAGACATCTTTGAATATTGCTTTTTACAATTAAACCGAAAAGTGCAATGTATACAAATTCCCCCGAACATGTCATGCATTGGCAGAGCATTTCACTGTGAGTAACTGAAATATGGTTAGTGTAGGAAGTAGAAGTGTGTGTTGCTCATGTTTACATAAATGTACATTTCAAGAGTTCACACTCAGAGGTTGCTTGGCACTATTAGCAGTTTGGTTTGCTATCCCGGGAGAGAACCCTGAGCTCAGAGATAATTAAGCCCAGGGCTCCCGCCAGGTCAATAAGTATGTAAGTTTATACGAGATCAGGTAGGTCTCGAGAGCTCCCCCTGATAAAAGGAGGAAAAGGAGAAGATAGGGTGAAAGGGGGGATTCTTCCAAAACGAAGATAAGGCAGTAGGGTGAAATCAATTTATTTATTGTAGGCTTGGATCAATCTGATTGAATTATTGCTGATTAAAGTTGAGAGACCAGCTGCGATCAATCATATCATGTGCTACTCTCGAAATTAGCTTGAAAAGTTCACAAAGATTTGATCTATCATATATAATGAACATGAAGGATCACATTTAAACAAAGTGACGGCAGGAAGACAGACAAGACAGACACAACAAATAAATGAATTAACTACTGTATATAAAAGTCATTTATTGAGGCTATTGCTCTGCATGATGAAATCTACCAATACCAAATGCTTTTAGATCAACTGAACAAAAGGACCATTTATGAATAGATTATTTCTTTGAATTTACATGTCAGAGCAATAACACCAAATCTAGATTCTACTTGACTAAAGGCCTCTAGGAAGCATTAGCGCTGTTACTCTACACATCTATAGTAGCTACGGTAGTAAAGTAATCAATAGTCACCATTGACAAATAGCCAGCAGCGTGCAGTTCCCTTTGAGCTGGTGAAGGGTACTGCCAGAAAGGGGAAGTCTGTAGTACTCCTATCTCTTTAAGGCAGCATGGGAAAAGACAGACTTATCTCTTTATTGCAGTGGCAACTCTACCTGTGCTAACAGTCTCTTGTGAAAGATAGAAAGGCCTGTTTATCCCACTAAATTGTGCTACACTGTTGATCAAATTTAGGAAAAGCTCTGAATCTGCTAGAGAACCACAGTTTGCAGGAGGGGAGGAGGGGATGTGGACAAAACTTTATAAAGCCATCTAGTGCAGTATGTTACTATACACAGCACAGCACTACAACTGATCATTGCAAATTCACATGTTGATATTGTTGAGTAGTTTGAGAGTGTTGCATAGGTTTGATTGGATTAGGGAAAATAGCTTTTAAGGTCATAATACCATGTTTTGAAGAACTGTTCCAAAAGATTTTTCAAGCCAATTACAAAGACTGACAATTCAATTCCAATAAAAGGAGACAACAATGATGCAAAAGTACCACAAAAGCTGTCCATATGACCAGTGCACTATACAAAGTAATTTCTTTGTGTGGAAGGTCATATTGGACCAGTTTTATGAATCTGTTTGTGTTTTATTGTGGTGAATTTGTGTCCTTTTTGTGTAAATGCATGGGAAAGAGTGACTTTAAAAATAGCCTTGTGTGTATCTAGCAAATAAAGGAAATACTTTGGGTTTGGGGCAACATGTGTTAAGTGAATACTGAGAGTTTTCATTTCTACTATCCTCTGGATCCTCCTTCTTTTGAAACATTAAAATGAGAAAGATCCATGACCAAAGCTATTATCAAATAAATTCCAAGAAGAGTAACTGAAATGCTGGCTGATACTCACCTGAGACAGGTTTCTTAATCTCTAAGGTCAATGTGATTGGCAGGTTGTGCATGAGGTCACAGATCTCCTGATAGGAGGATGTGCACACGGGGGTGTCACCAATTGTTACAATCTCGTCGCCAATGCTCATCTTCCCTGAGGCTTCCTGGTAACCAGATAGGAAGAAAATTGGTGAGATATATTTCTTAAATTTATTTCAGATATATCTTATCCATGCCTTTAAGCAAAGCTGGGTGTATTTTGATACTTGCACCAGCAGAGAGGAATTGCAGTTAACAGTTATGGTACCCTAAAATGTCCATTAAAAACTATTTTAGAACTTTTAAGAAATTAATACTTTAATGAAATACTACCCCAACTCCTTGTAAACTTTTGCCACTGAGCAAGTGTTTAGGGATAAGCAGAGGGAAAGAGTCTAACAAAACAAATACTATAGATATAGCTTGCACTTTATCTGTTAATCCAAATGTCAGTCATAAAACCTCCAATAGGATTTTCCCCCCTTAAATGAAAAATTAAAAGTAATGAATAGACAAATATTATTCAGTTTATAAATGATAAAATAATTGCAGTTTATAATTCTTGCAAAAGGTCTAACACAGTTCAGAGGTGGTGTAAATGCAATCCAAAAATGTTAACTGTAATTACAAAATAGCAAAGCTACTACAAAATTTTGTACAATGATATTTCATTAATATTTAATAAAATGCAATTGACAAAAATCTTAAATAAACATTTTAATGTTTATTAGGTGTTTTCAAATAAGCAGCCAACAGTAACTGAGTTGAAGTCAAAATTATTAGCCACGGTTTTATTTTTTTTCTTTTAAAAATATTTCCCTAATTATGTTTACAGGGCATCGAAACTTTCACAGTATGTCTGATAACATTTTTTCTTCTGGAGAAAGTCTTACTTGTTTTTTTTTTTGGCTAGAATAAAAGCAGTTATTATTTTATTAAACACCATTTAAAGGACAATATTATTAGCCTCTTTAAGCAAATCTTTTTTTCAATAGTCTACAGAACAAACCATCGTTATACAATGTGTTTTAGAGCTGAACCACTGAAGTCGCATGGAATGTTAAGTTTTTGGCTCCTTTTCAAGAAAATTGCTGTCTATAGAGAATTAGGGAATTCTCAGATATCATCTTAAATGTCTTAATCTGTGCTCTAAAGATAAATGAAGGTCTCAGGGAGATGGAATGACATGAGGGCGAGTAATTTCTAACAGAATTATCATTTTTGGGTAAAATAATCCGTTAACACCATGTGTAAACGGCACTGGATGCAGCCTCGGTTGTTAATAAATCAAATCCCACCCCAAATTCCAACCTACCCTTTCAGCTACACCTCCTGGTCTCAGTCCAGTGACCAACACTTTAAGCGGAGCAGACTTAATCTCCAGATCCAGACCAAAAGACTCTGTCTCACCGCGCTGGAGCACTATTGTCTCAATGGTACAGACCCCTGCAAGCTCACTAGATTCCCCTTTCTTGCAGTGCATCATTCTGCAGGGTGGCCGTGTGCAGTTTTGTGTAACCTGAGCAGGGTTTGCTGGGAATAAAGCTGGATCTTCCCCCTTGGTTCTTTGTGGAGGGTTTGGACACTCAATGCTCATCATGCTCTTGACACGAGTCACAGCTTTGTGCTCCAGCTTGGGTGAGCGTTTCACCTCCTGCCCTTCTCGATGGGGCTCTTTTTTCACCCCCAGGTTTGTGGCTTCGACACAGTGAATGGGCATGAAGGGAGATTCGGCAGATGACAGACCGGTAGTTCCTTCCTCAGATTCAATGGAGCTGCCATAGAAAGGAGTAGTCGGCTCACTGCTGATCTGTCTGTGGCTCTCACTGCCGTCCTGGCTTTCATCGTCCACCTCTAGAGATGATGTGGCTATAACAATACCAGAATCCTCCTCTTGGTGCTGGTGGCCGTCTGAGACCCCACGGAGAAGGCGACGGAAGGGGCCGTTGTCGTCTTCAAGTCCGGTCTCGTCACCGCTGGGCTCGTCCTCATAGCAGATAACCCGCCGCTGGCGAAGAAGTGGGCTGCGAACAGAGCTCGGACTGCTTCCCACACTGGCCTGCTGGGCTGTTTCTGCAGTACGACCAGTGCCACCTGAGGCTTTACAACATTCAGGGGTTGTGGGACTACTGCCTGAACCTCTATAGGAACCATCACGGTAGACTATAAGAGAAGAGGACAGAAAAACTGTGACTGTGACGAACCGCATTAAATCTATACAATGAGAGAATGAATGTGACACTTTAGATTCAGAAATGCTACCATGCGGCTGAGGTGCTGCTGATTCCTCCATGGACGTATTGCAGCTCCTGCTACTGTGCAGCATGTCGTCATCACTGGACCCCATTGCCATGGTCTCCGAGAGGGAAGACTGGCTGGGTACATCGTGAACCGTGAAATACTGAGAGAGCTCTGCCTCTGAACTCAATGAGCCTTGCTGCAGGGACAGATGGAGACATGAAATCAAATCTTTGGGGAAATCAAATTTAAAGTTTAATCTCCACTTAGTTTAAAGATTTAGAAGAGTTTTAGGTAAGGTTTTGAATTGTCAGGGTACCACCCTGCAAAAGAGTAGGGTGACAGCTTTATATTTGCATTTGTTGTTTCACGCAGTGATCTATAATTGTGCTAATGCTATTCAGAGATCAGTCTGAGTCAAAATTGAGGATTAATAAAGTACCAGTTGCTATTAAACATTAATTATACAGGACTTTGATTGTCCAAATGAGAAGACTAAGATTAGTTGACTACAAGAGTAATTTGTGTTCTAGACAAGTTTAATTCCCAAAGCAATTCAAATGAAAGTGATTTAGTATCATTGGTTCAAAGTCATTTTGGTCTTTGGTTCCATTTGCCTAAATTAAGTTCAAAAAACGCCATTCAAATAAAGGGAAATTTGTGTCAAATCATTATTAAATTACGTTACACCAATGATTTTTTTGAGAGTGCACTACAATACAAACAAAAGTACACAAAAAAACGTCACCACATTAGATACAAAATGACAGCAAACCTTGACAGCAAGTTTCAGCTGGAGTCATTTGCTTTTCATTAATGTTTGATAAAGTTTATTATCTCTGACAAGCTCAGCTCTCAGTAGACAAAAGCCTCTAGTTTACCCTGCTGGCTGGCTCTAGGAATCGCTTCATGGTCCAGCTGAGAGCAGGATTACCCTCGCCCTGCTTGACTTTGACTGTGGGAGATGGACTCTTGGACGGCAGGCCTGTGAAGAAGAGCACAAAGGAAAATGATGTTCATTTTTCTTCTGCTTGGAAAGGATCTGAGTTACAAATCACTGTGTTCTGAGTAACTAATAATCTCCAGCTACATCAGAACGTCAAAACTAATATTTGAAAACTGAACATGAAGTCCAAAACAGCATAAGCCAAATTTAAAACAGAGCTTTTGGGATTTTTAACGGATAGTTCAGCCCCCTGATTAATAGTTCAGTTGATTAAACCAGGATAGTTTGGTTTAATCAAAATTAAGTGGTCACAAACCACACAAAAGGAGATATTCTGAAGAATGTAGTAAACTAGAAGCCCTTGATATGTATAGTAAGATAGAAATGACGATGGCTGTCCAGCAATTTTCAATGCATCTTTTTTGTGTTGAACAGAAAGATAAAACTCATGAAGGTTTGGAATGTGTAAGGGTAGTAAATTGTGCCATAAAGGATTTCATTTTGGGGTGAACAATCCTTTTAAAAATATACATATTTTTAAGGAAAAATCTATAAACTAAGCTATAAAGCTTTAAAACCCCTAAGAAACAGTGACCCTAATCAGACCAAGACAAAACATGCATTTTACCGAGTGTGTGAGAAGAATGACTATCTCGATGTGTGGAACGAGTGATCACTTCATCCATCTCCTGTTCAGACACCTAAAGGTGAGAGAGGATCATTCATTAAATAAAATACTCAGCCCCTCAATCCCATGGTGTACGAACAACACTACAATATTCTGAGCCTAATATAGCTTAATATGATACAAATATCACGGAGAACACATTAATCCTTTGTCTATCTTAAATAACAAAATACATTTTCTGAACACAAGGTGGCACTATGATTCAAGAAGAATTATCTGCGTCATAAATCTGCCTAATTAAACTCAAAATAAACCTAATGCATGCATTGACTGTAAGTCAATTCCATCTCAATAACACTATTTGAAAATTTTCAAATAATAACAAAAACAATTAAAACAAATTAAAATAAAAACACAAATGATTATAATTTTACATTTTACATCAAAAATCAATAATTACATTTCAACTAGTAAACTCTTTGCCCTAGTTGTTTGACAGGCACTCTTTGAAAACTAATTCCCTATTTGTGTTTGAAAAATCTGTACGGTATAAAGTAAGATCAGATTGCACCAGATCTATTTCAGTTGACTTTTATTGTTTACTTCAATCCCAGCCTTTCTCAGCTGAAAAGAAACAATAAAACATCAAATAATAGAAGAACCACAAAAACATCCTGAGCACAAAAAAGGAAGCTTCACACTACATGCACCTGTCACAAACATGTTTAAAACAGTTATCTTTAACAAAAACTACACCCAGACTCCACTCAAATCTAGGAACATATGACTCACAAGCAGAAAAAAAAAAAAAGATTTACAGTGCAAATCCAACCAGTTGTTTGGTAAACAAGGCTGCAGCATATCTTTCATAAATCAGCCATTAAATGACTTATATATAACTTTACAAATTGCATTGTGCATAAATCCTCTAAATATTAGCATATTATTCAATAAAATCTGAATTTACATACTTTATTTACTCATTATTTACATGAGTATTTTAATAGATTGACTTGTGGACTCAAACATCTGCAGTTTCTGTAAAATTTGGATTATATTTACAATATTTCACAAATGCTGTTTAATGGAGAGAATATTATTAACGCATTTAAACTACTAACTACACCTTGCTAGTGCCGGGTTGGACCCCCATTTGCCATATATGCCTTAATTCTTCGTGGCATAGATTCAACAAGGTACTGGAAATATTTCTTACAGATTTTGCTCCATATTGACGAGATAGACTGCAAATTTTAGATGGTAGATTTAACTACCTTAGAGTTAAAATTAACACTCCCTCAGAGTTTATATGGGAACCACTATAAAACTGTTATCATCATCAACACTGAGAGAGTGTTAAGTAGCAAACTCTTATAGTGCAAAATATCGGTTCAATTTACAAAAAAAAAAAAAAAACCACCAGCTGTGGTTGCCAGAGTTTTTCGGTGAAAAATATGGAAGTTTTATAGAAATGTATTAATTTGTGGAAAATAACCGTATTTCATGAACTGATGCAATGTTCAGTTTACAAAATCATAGCTTAGTGCACAAAAATGTAAAGTCATTAGATGCAATGATGTGTTCATGTGTGATTGCAATTAACGAACAGATTTTCACTGCATTAGTAACTACACAGTTACCTTTAAACAAAAGAAGATGCAGCATAACATCAAATACCCTCAGTTCATCTTGGACTTGAACACAGACACTACTATCCTCCACAATGGTGACACAAAAAACGTTTTGCATTTTTTTTTCCTTTTTTAATTTTACGGAAAAATACCGGCAGCTGTGGTTGCCAGTAATCTGCTGTTTTTAACATTTTACATTCATAAATTCAGATTACAGTATATTTCTGTTAAAAACACATTCCACAGTCTGTATTTTTTATCGAACTATAGCATCACACAGTTGCTGCAGATTCTCAGCTGCACATTCATGATGCAAATCCCCTGTTCCATCACATCTCAAAGGTGCTCTATTAGATGAAGATCTGGTGACTGTTGAGGCCATTTGAGTACAGTGAACTCATAGTCATATTCAAGAAACCAGTCTGAGATGATTTGCGCTTTATGACATGGCGCGTTATCTTGCTGGAAGTAGCCATCAAAAGATTGGTACACTGTGGTCATAAAGGGATAGACACCAAGTCCTATGCCAAAAAATATCCCCCACACCATTAAACCACCACCACTTGTTGATACAAGACAGGATGGATCCATGCTTTCATGTTGTTGAAACAAGATTCTGACCCTACTATCTGAATATGGCAGCACAAATCAAGACTCATCAGACCAGGCAACGTTTTTCCAATCTTCTATTGTCCAATCTTGGTGACCCTGTGCGAATTGGAGCCTCAGTTTCCTGTTCTTAGCTGACAGGAATGGCACCCAGTGTGATCTTCTGCTGCTGTAGCCCATCTGCCTCAAGGTTCAACATGTTGTGTGTTCAGAGATGCTCTTCTGCATACCTCAGCTGTAGCGAGTGGTTATTTGAGGTACTGTTGCCTTACTATCAGCTTGAACCAGTCTGGCCATTCTCCTCTGATCTCTGGCATCAACAAGGCATTTGCGCCCACAGAACTGCTGCTCACTGGATGTTTTCTCTTTTTCCAAATATTCTCTGTAAACCCTAGAGATGGCTGTGCGTAAAAATCTCAGTAGATAAGCAGTTTCTGAAATACTCAGACCAGTATTTCATTATACACATTATAAATAGATATAATAGATAGATATTATAAATGTACCCAATATAGTGGTCGCTGAGTGTATAAGCGATTTAGGTTAATAAGGCAAAAAATATCATAGGAAACACAGTGAAACCCTCCTTGCTCTATTAAACAACACTTGTGAAATGTTTGAAAAGGAATTCAAATTTCACAGGAGGGATAATAATTTTTCCCTCAACTGTATAAGTAGACATACGGTCAGTACCTCAGTGTGAAAGACTAACATTCTCATGTCACATGCTAAGTTTGAGGCTAGTCCTAACATCGTTCTGCTCACATTAGTGCAGGCTCTCATTTCTCAGGCCAAGTGAACAGTCAGCATATTCTAACCACCAAAACCTCCCGCTGTACCCCACCCTGGTGCACATTTCTCAACATCTTGAATCACTATGTGGATGGAAACCAAGTTGCTCGAGCAGAAGGGGGAGAGGAATGTTGTTTACTTTTTTGTCGGGCTTCAATGATTCATGCTAGGAGCAAATTACAGCTTAACAGGTGGATGGTTTTTTTTTTTTATTTCCACTTGCAGCAGTCTGTCAGAGGAAGGGCCCTTGTGACTGCAAGAGTGTGACCACATCACCACACTCATAGATGCGGTCTATTTATTCATAAATGAAAACAAGTTCAGAAACTAGAGGGCGTTTGTGTTGCTTTATTAATATTTTCTATGGGCATCAAATATTTACTTCATTTGACCCTAAAGAATCTGTACCCTTTGAACAAGACTATTAATTAGGGTAAGTTTGCAAGCTTGTTAATCTGAGTAAGATTGTATATGCAGTCATTTTTTGAGGAGATGCCATAGTGTCTGTGTTTGGCTCTTACTTTAGGGTTTGGATGGCGGCTGATGATAAGGCTGACCGGGCCTGGTCCACATTCACTCAGGATGGCATAGGCTTCACTTAATGCCGCGTGTCTCAGGCTCACAGAATCCACTTCTAGAAGCTGGTCTCCTCGGCTAATGCATAACATACACTGATTAGTCACTTTAATCAAAGATTTGATCAAAAATATAAACAGTCTCCTTCATAAAAGAGTACAAAACCTAAATATCTCTCTTTCAAAAGGGAGCTATTATGCAAAAATCACTTTTATAAGGGGCTGGCTTAACATAGTTGTGTTGCAACAGTGTGTGAATTTGAGCAGCTTCTCATAGTAAAAAATTATTTATTTTATTTTTTATAATCACTCTTGATAAAAACAGAAACACTTTGAATTACTTTCCCCCTTTGTACGTTTTATCAGAGGGAGAAAGCCCCGCCCATTAGTGACAATCTCTCCCTCATTGGCTAAGAATGTTAGTCATTTTGTATCCGCCATTATGCTTATACACAGGCATTTGTAGCTCCGCCCTTTTTTGAGAACAGCACAATCTCATTTAAATTTAAAGCAACAGTCACCAAAATGTGTTTAAACATTAGATGAGTTAGTACCAAAGCCAAAACTAGTTTAACAAAATAACAATATCACAGAGAAAAAGGATGTACACAACAATGAATGTGTTAGGGAATAATATTAGATTAAATCCTAATAGGAAAATTAAAGAGAGCCAAAAAAATATAACATTTATGTAAGATGTTTGTATAAGATGTTTGGTAATAACACTCTTATTTTAATAAATATAACTGTTTATTGAATCTGTTTTGTTTAAACGCACCAACATATATTTCCGATGTTCAATGAGAAATGGATGAAAATCTTATTTTTCAAATTGGATGTACTCATTCATGCAGTGCACTGTACATTTATAGCTAGGGGCTGCTGAATGCCTGATTCTGGTTGGATTATACACCTTCTACGGTGTTTATTTTTCAGGAATTGCACTGCTAAAGAAGACTGATTTTGAAAGTATTAGTTTCATATCACTTCTCCAAATTATTATAGTCATTACAGCCCATAACAGCAAGAGATTCAAAACCCACATTGATTAACTGACTTGAGTTCACTGAATTAAACCCAAGGTAATGGGTAAATGAATATTAGCAATTTGAGGGACCATTATTTTAGAATAAATCTACTCCACACAAAGGAATATTATCAAGCTGAGGGTGCATTATTTTAGAATAATTCAACAGCTTGTCATTAATTATTCCTTAAACAGGCAAGCTAAATGCAATTTTATAGTAGAAAAAATAGAAACCATTAGAGTTTCATATCACTTCTACAAATTATTATATAATTTCAAACGCAATTACAGCCTACAACAGCAATATAATTAAAACTCACATTGATTAACGGACTTAAGGTCATTAAATTACGAAACTTTTTTTGTTTGTCTATTTTTTATGGGACAAAGGTATGATTACATAACAGTACATTAACAGCTGAACAATTTTGCAGTATTTATTTGTTTAATAAATAAATGTATTAACATATTAAAACTCTAACACCAAAAATAAGCATTTAACTGATAAAAAGTGACCAAAATCTGTAAATTGCTAAAAATTTTTGCTTTTCAAATAAATAAAGGAATTTCTGAAAGAAAGTAAGTAAAAAAAAAAAAAAAAACTCAGAAGCACAAATGTTTTTGGAGCACCAAGCTAGTATATTAGTATATTAGAATAATATGAAATAATATGGAATAATGTGGCATTCTGAAGAATCATATCACAATGAACACACACACACACACACACACACACACACACACACACACACACACATATATATATATATATATATATATATATATATATATATATATATATATATATATATATATATATATATATATATATATATATATATATTATACTATTCTTTTTTTTTTTTTTTACCAATTAAATGCAGCTTTGGCGAGCATTATGGAATATACCGGTAGTATCATCCGATATTTCTATTCTTTATTTGTCTTTATTTGTTTATTTATCTTCATTTTTAATTTTTTAAAAGCTGTGGGTGGTATAATCACTTACAAGTATTTTTACTCAACTTAATCTTAATTATTTAACTGATTTTTTAGATTTATATTGAATAAGCACATCCATAAGATATTATATATATTACCGTTGATGTATGTGGTCCAGGGGTATTTTAAGTGTCAACCCAATTGCATTTGTTTTAAAAATAGACGTGTCTGAAAGTATATTGCTCCCTTATCATTCTCTTCAGACAGCTGCAAGCACTTTCACAACTAGACCTAGCATTCAGAACCTCAATCTCCTGCCATAAAGACCCCATTCATGTGTTTCTGGCTCATGCTGCACATTCTTTCTCAGCCTGCGAGGTGTTTCATCTAAACAGGAGCAAACGCACACAAAAACCCCAGCAAATCACAAACAAACAAGTCAGGCTTATTGGATATTTTATAGTTTAGAGAAAAGAATCTGCTGCAAACACGTGTACAGATGCACTGTAGGCTCAGTAGGGAAAATCTAGACTATGCGATTGTTTTCCCTTGTGAGGTCTCATTTCTGCCGCTCCCTTCCTTAATTAATTGTAAGTGAAGATTTTAAGATGACTGCTCAGAGGGTCCAGTGTCTGCTAGAGCAGCTAAACTAGCACCATTCACTCTTAAATACATGAAACATTAGCACATTTTCTGCATTAGCCAAACAGGAACCTTTTTTTTCTTAGAAATGTTTGGTCAATTTGGTTAATTTTTTTTTTTTAGAAATGTGACGCATGCTTTTTTCTCAGAAATGCACCTGCCTGTGTGCTTTGAGTAAATCTTTCCACTGATTAATCACTGTTAAACATTGACTAACTGAACATTAATGAGAAATTCTGAATATTAATTTGCCATTAAGTTACTGTACATGTTCATTATATAACCAAGAAAGTGTACCTGAGTCTGCCGTCCATTTTAGCAACAGAACCTGGAGCCAAACTGTGGATGTAGATCCCAGGAGCACTGTTTTCCAGTGTTAGACAGCAGGCACCAATGCCTAGTCCCACGCCTGGCTCTGAAACACAAAAAACAAATGATTTACTTTACAATTTTAGAGTCAGATTTTTGCTGTTTATCCTGGTTAAGGGTATTTTAGATGGTATGACACACATGGATTCTCAGACAACTTCTGAGGTGAGATGTTTACCCTCTGAACCTGAAGGAAATCATGTCTGCTGTCTTTTTAAAAGACCTATACCTTTAGTTTAATAATGCATAGACCCTAAAGTAAAATACTTCATGTCAAAGAAATATGTGGTGTCTCTGAACTGAATAAATTAGCAGAACTGAAATAATGAGAAAGCTGCTTGGAGGGTCTATTTATTAGCTTGACAGTCCAAGAATAACAGTTTTCATTTTGGCAGGATGGTTTATTTGGACACATAATGAGCACAAGGCTTCAACACAGATTCATCTTGATTCACAGGTGCGTGTCTAAGATAAAAAAAACAACAACTTTAAATGTCATTTAAAAAATATAAAAAAAAATGTTATACATGAATTTCAGATGGGAAAAGTGTGTTCTGATAACATTGGAGATGATGGGGAAATTAAAATGTGATTTATGTTTAATTGTTAATACTGTGTTAGTCAGAATATTAAAAAGTAGAGGTAAAAGTTACACAAAGCAAACATACTGCAAGCAAAATAGTAAAACTACTTCTTAAGTGGTGCAACGTCATGAAGAATGTTTAACATAAAATACCATTTAAAAAGTTGAGGCAGATAGAATAGCCTCTTAAGCTCACCAAGACGGCATTTATTTAATCAAAATTATATGGAAAAACAGTAATTTTGAAAAATATTATTGTATTTTTTAATAACTGTTTTCTATTTTAAATATTTTTTTATTTTAATTTATTCCTGTGAGATCAAAAAAGATTTGTTCTGTGTTTCACCAGTGTTAAATCAATCAAATAAGATGATTTGGTGATTTTCTTTTGCTCAATAAACACTTATTTTTAATATCAATGTGGGAAAAAAGTTTTGTGGAAAACATTTATTCAAGATTTTTTACAAAACAAAATACAAATCTCTTCCATGAAACTCTGTGCACGCAGGCTAATAGGTCACACCCAATCTGTTCCTACTACATCATTAATTACATGGTGCAGGATATTTGTTACTGTCAGCCAATGAGTTTGGTCCACAAGCATTTTAAATGCTCACTGTTGCTTTATGCTAGCAATGTGCAGCACATTTTTCGGAGACCCTCCTCCACCCCAGTTCCACCTGTGTTAAGATCTGCTATGGGGCTTACACATACAGTTGAAGTCAGAATTATTAGCCCACCTTTGATTTTTTTTCTTCTGGAGAAAGTCTTATTTGCTTTATTTATTTTGGCTAGAATAAAAGCTGTTTTAAATTTTTAGAAAACCATTTTAAGGTAAAAACTATTAGCCCCTTTAAGCTATATTTGTTGATAGTCTACAGAACTATTGTTGAATAAAAACATATATCTATAAAATATTGTATAAATATATATATATATATATATATATATATATATATATATATATATATATATATATATATATATATATATATATATAAATAAAATATAATAACTAATAACCTACCTAATTACTCTGTACAACCTACTTAACCTAATTAACCAAGTTAAACATATAAATGTCACTTTAGGCTGTATAGAAGCGTCTTGAACAATATCTAATAAAATATTATTTACTGTCATCATAGTAAAGATAAAATAAATCAGTTATTAGAAATTAGTTATTAAAACTATTATGTTTAGAAATGTGTTGAAAAAAACTTCTCTCTGTTAAACAGAAATTGGGGAAAAAACATACAGAGGGGCTTCAACTGCATATTATGTTTATAGCAGAAGTGTGTTAAATTCTCAGAAGTTGTGGTACTTGCTCTTCCATAATAATCAAAGCAGCAGCAGCACCATAGCAGGTCTATGCCTGCAAGACCAAACACATGAACATTGCCATTATAATATATATATATATATATATATATATATATATATATATATATATATATATATATATATATATATATATATATATGTATGTATGTATGTATTACCATACTAAATCTCTCCGAGATTTCTCATGACAGAAAGAATAATCCAGAATACTGAATAATCAATAACACAGTATATAAAAATATAGAAAACAAATAGCAAAAACCTCTATTCCTAAAATTTTGACCATTAATGCACATATCTGCAACCAACTACATTTTTTTGCAAGATTATATGACTGTACCTTTGTTCAATGTAACCTCCATGATAATGCGATCTTTGGGACCAGGCCCTTTACGAGAGTCCCCCTCATCAAAGCTTTGAGGAACTGGAGTCCCACCACTGGCATTAGAGTTTGGAGAACTGGATCTGCTGAGCAGGGTGGGTGTGGGACATGGTGTAAGACTGGGACTTCTCAGGCGGGTCCGTACTGTTAGAGTAACTACACCTTTCTTAAGTTGCTAAAAAGCCAAGAAAACAATACCCATTAGACATTGGATAATTACAAACATCTATGAAAACCACTGATTATCGTTATCTTTAAATGATGGCAAAAGTCATTCAAAGTAATGGGCATGCACTGAAATTTCAATCTTTACAGTGGGTGGATTTGAGGGTGACTGTGGAGTTTACCTTAAAGGTCTGAATGGCCTGCTGGTGAGTGAGGCCTTGGAGAGACTCTCCATTCACCTCTAATATCTCATCTCCTGAAAGCCAGAAGAAGAAAGACGATGCAAGATAAAAGCCACAATTGCTCATTCCACATGGTTTCAACTGCTTTGAAGTCTATTGTTCCAAGTGCATTAGAGTGACTTTTTTATGATCAGGATTGTCCATCTACCTTCTTTCAGTCTCCCGTCTGCTGCAGCTGCTCCATTGGGGAAAATGGTTTTGACAAATATACCCATTCTTCCCCTGGCTGAATCCTGTCCACCGACAATACTGAAGCCGAGACCCTGGACACATTAAAAAGCACGCAAGTTTATAAATTATATCTGAGAGGTATAATTACATTATTATAATTACAATATTTTAACAGAGTAATTACATCCAAGATAAAAGTTTGTAATGTACATGTGTTCTGTGTATATTTATGTGTACAACTATAAATAAACATTTACATCTATATATATTCTTACATTTACAATGTAACTACAGAGTAAATACAATGTAATGACACAGTAACTACATACAGATTAAAGGTTGTAATTATTACATACATCTGTGCTGTGTACATTTAAACATAAAATATAAATACACTACATGAAATAAACAAAAACACTAATAATTATTATCTGGGACGTAATAACAATTTAATAGCAATGTACTTACATTCAAGATTATAATTTGTCATTACATTACATGTGTATTATGTATATTTACGCAAATAACTAAATACACAAATGCAGTACACGAAATATACTAAGAAACATTTACGTTGATAAATATCTCAGATGTAACTACAATATATTACCAATGTAATTACAATGTAACAACACAGTACATCATAGATGTAATTACAATGTTATAACAATATAACTAAAAATGATATTAGAGAGTATTACTATGTAACAACATTGTAATTACACTGTCTTTAAACTGTAACAACATTGTAATTACAATGTTACAACAATGTAATTGCAATGCCTTTTCATAGTTATTATAATGTAATGACAGTAATTACAGCAAAAAAGCAACATTGTAATATGTTATGTATATAGTAATTTATATTAAAATTGCAATGTTATAAAATACAATTACAATGTTAGTACATGGTAACTATATTGTAATGACAGTAATTATAATGCATTACCGTTGTAATTACATTGTTATAACATTATAACTACTATGTAATAACAGCCTTCATGTCAATTCATTATAAGACCATGTAAAAACATTTTATATACATTGTAACAGCATTGTAATTACAATGTTTTTACAAAGTAATAATAATAATAATAATAATCACATAGTAATTACAGCCAAAATAAAGTATGTAATTACATATTGCAACTCAGATGTTAATACAATGTAATTACAATGTCATTACATCCAAAATAAAAGTTTTTAATTACATATAAACAGTGTATATTTTTGTATAATACACAAATACTGTACTTGAAATATACAAATAAACATTTATAAATATTATATATTATATTATAAAAATAATATTATAAAAAGTTTGTAATTACATATTGTAGCCTTGGAATTATATGATTCTATCTGCTAAATGATTTTGAGATATTGAGCTTCAAAGTTTTTGCATTCCATACAGCAAACAATGTGTAACAGTTCTTTCATACATTAACATGACAGAGACCCTAAATCTACTCTAAATGTAAATTATCAAAATTCTCTTACATTTGCAAACTGGGGTAAAAAACAGGGCAAAAACAGGTAGAAACTTCTAACTCTAAAAAGTCCTCTTCCACTTGGAATCATAAGGTTTTATTTGGTAGATCATTAATTAAAGCATTACTTTTCAAGAAATACAATCAGTCTCTAATTAATATTTAAAAAATGGTGCTGCAACAATATGTTGATATTTGAGAAAGTTGCATTTTTGCTTTCTATAACATTTATTTATTGTTTTAAGATGATTATTTTTTCTTGTTCAAATTAAGCTCACAAGGATGTACTAAATATTTTGTCCAGCGCAGATGTTAATTTTATGTAATTAATATAAATTATAAACTTTATATGAATAATTAAAAAATATTTATTGAATTATAATATAATATGGGACATATTATATATAATATGCCCCATAAATTAAATTAAGTATTTGCCCTTTAAGTCTTTAAATTTAAAGACTTTAAAAGAAATATTGTTTCTTTATTATCAATGTAAAATGTAACATTTCATCCCAATGACAAAAATCTGCTTCTAAATCATCACATTCACGCACACTTTTTCAGTTTCAGGCTTCTTCCTAATTTTATGTGGTTCTGCATTATTTAGTTGACTTTGATTTTGTGGTTCTTTCTGGTCTTTCCCGCTGTCAATGAAGCAATCCGGCAAAATGACAAAGAAAGCTGATCCTGATTGGCCATCAAGCGTGCATTCGAAATGCTGATTGGCTCACAGAAAGAACCTTATTGAGCCAAGCTAGTGTTCAACTTTGTAGATAAAACCTTTTTTCGTTTTTAAAATAAAAAGTCTTAAAATGTAAGCAACTTGCAAAAAAAAAATATCACATAATGTAAATAAATTGTCGTTAAATAAGAATATGTGAATAGCTCAATTTTGACAAAAATTACCTTATAATAAACCTTTTAATTCTAGGGTGACGACTTATACTCCTTTTTATCCTCCCTGCTTCTTAAAATAACAGTCCCACATACACAGTTTGTGTAATAAAAGCTTAAATAAACTTGAAAATAAAGAAAAAAGAGATTAAATCTCCAATGAATAAAAAACATCAACATGATTAAAGCAGTTTGCATTTAAAATGCTCTGTACAGTATGTGAGCTCTCATGGTGACAGTGTGTATTGTCCTGTGCACATGGCCTCCTCACCTTTCCTTGTCCTTTCATCAGTACAATGTTGGAGATTATGGATGGCTGGGCCAGTCGCCATGGAGACTCCACTTGAACAGTGCTCAGGGAACGAGCCGATTTCTTCACGATTTGATATTCCTGAAGAGGATTACAAGAGAGGCTATGAATAAACAATGAGATGATAAAATCAGCATTGTTTTTTAATGTGTACAACTGTGAGTAAATGAGCAGCTGTCTTAGTAACTCGTACCTTTGTACTGCATCACATTGGATGAAAGCAACAGCTAAATGACAATAAACGATACAGCACTACCATTACTTTGAAGAGAAATAACAAATTGAGGATTTTGCTTTGGATGGGTGTAGAGATACATCCAAGTCACAATTTGACATGTGGTCATACAATAAGAAAAAATAAAGAAAAAAACGTATAATGGTGTTTTTAGAATAATTATAACTTAAAACTGTTAAATAAAATTTGTGTTTTATCTTGATTAAAATGTTAAATTTTGTCTAGACTTGTGACAGGGGACTTAAATAGACTTGAACTTCTGTTTTCTGGGGCAATAGCTATGTTTCCATCCACCCATTGTTTGCACATTTTGGATATGCGCATAAAAACTAGTTAATGGAAATGCCAATACGCATATCAATTTTGAAAATGTGCATAACTGAGTAGGATAAACTTTTTACTCTATAAAAAAAGATGTGCATAAACTGCGATGTAACAAATTACTTTTAACAGAAAAAAATTCCAGCATGCACATTAAAAAAGTCATATGATTTTTTATAAGAGATCATGTGATGATACAAATGTATGTGAATGGACCAATTCAGCATTAGTGTTGTTATTTTATTAATTACCTTCAGAATTGTCAAGAGCATCTGTGTCTCACGCATTTAAACACCAAACCACGCATTCATTGCATGTTAGCATTTGTCTTCTGAGGTGCAAGTCATTTATTAAATAAGAAATAGATTTATGCAGCTTCTTCTACCAAATTCAATTTTTGCAGTTTCTCTCACCAAATTACACTTTTCCTGTTGATATTTGGTGCCAGTTAATCAGGAGGTGACAATTTTGTTCTCTTTGACTAACTGGAGGGAATTGCTGCTTTATTCGCATGTCTTATATGCGATATTCCAGCTTTGCGCATAAATTTAATTTGCATCTTTGGATGAAAAAATAGCTAAAGATCACATCAGAACACAAATGATATAGATTGTGAGGCTTAATAATGAACTATCTTAGATATACAGTACATGTTTGGCCTCATTATGATTACCTACATATAAATGAGCCTTTTGCACTGGTAAAGTCAGACATTTGGCATTATTAGATTCATCCTATCAATATCAAACATGTTTAATGTTATATCCAGGATTTTCAGTAGCTTTGGCTTTTAGCAGCGACATTTGCATTACACTGGACTCAACTAAATTAATATTCAACTGTGACAACCGAACTGAAGGGATTTTAATCAACTTGTAGAACTTCATCTATGTTAAGCTGCTTTGAACAATCTACATTGTAAAAGCCCTATAGAAATAAGGATGAATTGAATTGAAAGAGATGAGTAAGAAATTAGTCAATACCGTACAAAACTGTAACTGTACATTATGCCAAACTAACAGAGACTAACAATTTAACAAAACATAAAGGGATGCAACTAGGGATGCAACGAATAACTGATTTCACTATTAACCGTGCTTTTTTTCATCACGGTTTATAATTGTAAAGACTTCTCAACACCGCAATTCTGTATGGAACAAATCTGCGACAACTAAAAGTCATGCTAACTGTGCGCTAGTTTAAAGTTCCAAGCTTGTACACTGAGACTGGATTAACTATGGCTGGCTAAGGCTATTAACTAAGGGTCGTTCACATGTCGCGTCTTTCACAACGCGCACATGCTTTCCAGGTGCACCTAGTTAAAAGAATGGCGTGAGCGCAGTGAGTCACGTGACAAGAACTGACCGCTTAGCTTCATGCTTTGTATGGAATTTACACATTTCTACTCCAAAAGATAAAAATATTATACAAAATGAAAATACCAAACCCTTTTGTAATATAGTTGATCAAAAATGCCTTTCATACAGAGGTTCAGCAACCATTGATTACATTTTTCTCCTTAAAAGTATAATACTTCGCCAATATGACGCTAAGATTTACAGTAGACAAATACTATTTTGTATTTATTCTTATTTATTTATTCATTGTTGTGTCATTTATTTTTAGTGTAAAATTATTACTTATGATTCAAGAGTTCACACTTAGATAATGCTTGACTATTTTAGCAGGTTTGGCATGCTGTTCCAGGAGAGAACCCTGAGCTCAGAGATAGATGAGCCCAAGGCTCCCACCTGGTCAATAAGCATTAGGATACGGGATACAAGATCAGGTAGTTCTCGATAACTTCCCAAGAAAAGACCGCCAACTGCGCCAGTTTGTACGTAGTAGGTGCTTGTGACTAACTTTTGTTGCATGTTTTTGAGACTGTGGGAGGAAACTGGAGTATCCGGGGAAAACCCACGCGAACACGGGGAGAACATGCAAACTCAGCACAGAGAGTGTCGACTGGCTCAGCTAGCATTTGAATCAACACCCCCTTGCTGTTGGGCTACGGTGCTAGCCACCTAGCCACCGTGTCACCCGAACTTAGCATTGAGGAGGAGGGAGAAGGGATAGATTACGGGGGTTTCCAAAACGAAGATGAGGATTTAAGTTTAGGCTGGATATTTAAATCAAATTTGGAATGATCAGATTGGCTAGTTGGTGATTAGTAATAGGGATCAGCTGTAGTCAATCATATTACTTGCTCCTCTCGAAATTAGTTCGTGAAAGTTCACTTATATGACAAAAACATTTTTTTACTTGTTTTAAAGCCCAAAGAGAAATTTACTTGTTTTTTTAAAGAATATTTTGTGCTGTACTATTTGTGTTTATTCTTCAGACAATGATTGTACAAACAAAATCTATAATCGTTGCATCCCTAGTTTAAATTTAGGTTTAAACCATTAACACATTTGTTAATTTTCCTTTGACCAGTGCCGTAATTAGTATACCTAACTAGCATAAGAATGACAGGACAAATCGTCTTTAAAGTGGTCATGCCACATAATAATTTTCATTTCAGCCAACAAAACACACTGAACTGAAATCAGGTATTATAGACTGTGAGTATAAGAATACTGTCTTAAATGACAAATGATAAATGAATAAACTGAATACTGTAGTGACCTGTCGGATTCCAACTGTATCCAGCTGCTGTGGGAGGGAATGTTTGCGTCCTCCTCGCGTCGGCTTTTCAGCTACATCACTTCCTGTATCACCGTTTTCCACTATGAGCTCATCGTCTTCACCAACTGACTCCAGACGGCTTCCTCCACCTAGTCAGAATGATATCAAGACATTAGCTTTAAATGAAAACATATATTTATTTTCTCAGTGGAATCAAGTACACATGTCTGAATGCCTCCACTAATTATTAAGCATAGTTTTAAAATAAAATGCCAGATACCCATCCATCAGAATCATTTCAGTATTTCCTGATCTGGTAGAAAAATCTATCATAAGGACGTTAGAATTGGTGGATCCACCCTTGGCCATAATCCAGTACAGTTTAATCTCATTACACAGTTTTAATGGTCAGCAGTGTTGTGATGTGATACAGCTGGACACGTCTGACCTTGGGATCTGCTGCGGAACTTCATTGGTGTGGGGCTTCGGCAACATCCTTTGGGACCCTCAATCCGGCCACGTTCGTCCAGTCTGTCATGATCTGTAAACTGAAATACAGGAGGCAGAAATAATTAGAAAAAACATACCCTGAAAAGAGAGAAACACTATACAGAATTGCTAGCTTGCCCTTCACTGCACAGGAATGTTGCACACTCGTGAGGGTGAACACTTTCTTTTTTTTTCACAGAGGGATGTCAAATCTCATATGTACTTCTAAGCTAAGGTATTCATAGAGACTTTACTTGATGTTGTGAAATGGAAATACCTTTGCTTAAGTAATCCAGTATAGACTGTACTAGCAATATTGAGGCAATGAAGGTGTCCACGCTAAATAATACAACTTTGCTCATCTCATTTTTAATATACATTAAATTGTTTTCATTTTTCATTTTTGATTTAGGCCCTATTTCTGAAAAAAACTGATAAAACATTTGTCCACAAAAATATTAAACAGTACAACAAATAATTATGCTCAAGTTTCCTTTTTTATTGCGTATAAATTAGAAAACGCTTTTAAACTGCAAAATAATTTCCCACAAATTATCAGTTTACTTTTTTTTTAACTTAGCTTTAAAGAGCCTCTATTGCGGGTATTTGAAAATGACCTTCCATGCAGTGTGTATAACACAGCTCTAAGGGCATGAAAACATCCAACTTAGGTTTAAATCAGTAAGTGCACCTTGTTTAAAAATATAGATTTTTAAAATGAAAAGATTCGACTCAGAGTCTTTTAAATGATTTGTTGTCGTGATCTGGATCTTTTGCCTGTTTGCACTGACGTTGAAACAAAACAATACCAAATATGAACTGCTGCATCGGTTAAAACGTGAACACGGCTTTCCCGTTTAAATGCTAGAACAGTGTGGATGTGTGTGGGACTGATCATGACCAATGATGTGTAAAAATTAAACGTCTAAAGCCACGCTGAAAACATGACGCTTGCTACTTTCGTTAAAGATTTAAATGCGGTTGTGAGCTTGCGATTTTCTGCCATTTGTTGTTGCTATAATTACCATCAGCTGTTCCTACACAAGTGCAGTAGTTAAGTTTTAAAATAGTTCAGCTTTTTTTTGTGTGAATTAATACTGATTACACTCTGCAATCTGCCTACTTCAACAATGTTGATAAGCCATGGTGGGCATTTCTCTCTGTCTCGCGCTAAATGCAGTTGGCCAATCGCAACAGACTAGGCTATTGAGACATTCAGCGCAGATTAGCATCATGCTAAGGAGAGGTGTGAGATCAATTGAATTGCAGAGCAAATCATATGGGTGCGTTGGGAAAATTAGGGGAAAAAAATGCATATTATAAGACAACGAAAGTGTTTTGACCATTTATGTATATCAAGGTTATAACAGTTTTAGATATTCATTAGTTTTAGTTATTATTTCATTTTGACATTTTGTTTTCAAATTCAGTTAGTTTTAATTAGTTTTAGAGGCAGATTTACTAGTTTTTATTAGTTTCTATATTTCGAAATTGCTTAGTCTTATTTTACTTTTTATTAGTTTGAGTATTAGTTTTAGTTTTTTTTAATATAGGTTAGAATATTTGTTAGGTGCAAGATACAAAATGTACTGTTTGTAAGAGGGCATATCAGGCATGTTAAAAAGTAAGTCTTTGTGGACAAGTGCTTACTGGAGTCGCAAATCGTTTCAAATGATTCAGTTCGATTTGGTGAATTAATTCAACCGGTTTACTTAGAAGATCCGGTTAAAAAGAATGATTCACTCACGATCAGGATCACTAATATGGAAATAAAACCCATTATTGGACACTAATGTGCTATTAATATTTTCAGGTGTCGGCTTGAGTCGTATTTAATGCTGTCACTGTGCTGCTGTCATGTCTACTCGTTGATTTTGTCACGGAAGCACCAGCGAGGACTGACTGGAGGAGGACCAGCTTGATCTGGCCAGTGGCAGCAGGATTACAGACTCTGAGGTGCCGTACAGGTCAAACACCGGGCAGCGCGAAGTAAATAGATTTAATTCTAAAAAGCTTACAGTAGGCTTATGTAATAAATACATTTGCAAAGATGAAAACAAAGGACAATTTTGCTATAATTTTAGTTAGTTTCAGTTAGTTCTAGTTTTTTTTAACTCGTTTTATTTTTATTTCAGTACTGATTTTTCAATTTTAGTTTACTCGTTTGTTTTCGTTAACTATAATAACCTTGATGCATATCAGCCTGTTGTTGGAGACCCACAAAACCAAAATATGACCTTTTTTAATGCATAATAGGGGCTTTTTAATTGTTTTGATGGTTAAATTTCATTTTAGTATGGGCAATGCTTGTCTAATTAAATTAAATAATGAAATTTATATCGTCTTAAAAGAAAGTGTATATATTTATATAGCAATTATTTAACTTTTACAATTGGATTTCTATGAACTATATGCATTTCTTTTTAACTGTAAGTTTTTTAGCACTGTATTATTAACATTTTTATTAATATTAATTATAAGTCGACAGCACTTTGAAATAGAATATTTGTGTCTAATTCAAAAGATTCCAAATGCTTTAATTATCACTTATAACTAGAAACATAACATGCAACTAAGTCATTATGTTCAAGGGGTAGTTCACCCAAAAATGAAATCCTGGCATGATTTACTCATCCTTGGCTTGTTCCAAACCTTTATGTGTTTAATTTTTCTGTTAAATACAAAACAATACCTTTTGAAGAATGCTCAAAAAAACGTGGTCATTAACATCAACATAAGGAAACATAAATACAATAAAAATCAATGAACCCTGGTTTAAAACATTTTTTTTTTAAATATCTTCTTTCATCTTAATCAGAAAAAAGAAACTCAAACATGTTTGGAACAAGTAAAGGATGAGTAAATGATGACAGAATTTTCAGTTTTGGTTGAACTATCCCTTTAATTAACTGTAATTACATAGTCAATTTTACATGTTTGGAAGCCTTTAAACATTTTTTACCCATGGAAAACTCCAATAAAAAGTGTATTTGGGGGTTGTTTAAATATTTGTGCTGTGTAGCAGCGAGATTATTTATGTAATAGTTGTCAATGGCACTTTGAAGTCAGAAAACCTCTTGAGTTCTGCACCACTGATCGGTGGCTGTTTTAAAAAGAAGAAGAAGAAAAGAAAGAAAGAGTGTTCCATTTCCAACCGTCTTCATTTTAAAAATGAGCTTCGGTTTATCGTACAGCTCTGGCGTCCTGAAACAAGTTTAAACAGCAGCATGTGAAGAAAGATACACTGCTCTTTTTTCAGGCGTGAAGACAGGAAGCCCTTCCCTGAGTTGTCAGACATGAGATCTGTCTCCTGCATGAACAAGCTAGGCTACGCTGTTTCAGGTGAGCCCGTGGGTTTCCTCAAAACCCCACACCTCCAGGCCTCACAGGATTCAACGTGACAGTCACAGCTGCGCTCCTCTTTCCTTCCTTATTTTTTATTTGAAAATCTGCTCCCATGCTTTTACCTCCCTCCCTTTGTTTCGTCAAAAATCACTGAGCCTGATGCTTCAGAACAGATCTGGAGACACACCCAGCCCTGTCAGCACGAGACGCCTACATAATAGCAACCGCTCATCACCCTCTTCTGCTGTGGCAGAGCGTTGAAAGGCAGGGTAAGAACAGTTTGGACAGGTGTTTGGATTTGGAATGGAAGAGTGAATTGAGAAGCAAACATATGGTGAAGAACTGAAAAATTAATTGGCCCAGTTACACTCTCCATTTCATTTTTTGCTTAATAACTTAATGATAGACTTCTCATCTATGAATTCCCACGACTTTGCCTTTTCCAGGCATTTATGATTACTGGATAAGGATTGTTAAAAATCCATTTACAGATATTACACTCACAAAAAGCCATTCCTAGCCAGGAAAATATTTGAAAAGTGATTTATACTGAAGGGAAAAATATGATTTGCTGATGCTTGTGGTTCTTGCATTCTGCATCCAAGAACTATGAAAGTCATACAGGTGTGAATGTTGCTGAGCTTTAGGCTTTTCGTTCGTTGCTGAAAAGTACAGCAGGCCCTTGATGATAAAAAATGTTAACATTTTCATTTGTCTTCATCTACGTTTATCGGTCTGTCTATGTGTGCATTTACCCATACATTTGTCCATCCATCCATGCATACATCATCCACACAGAACAGAAATCATCAACAAAGCATTGTTAATAATTGTTCAAAATTGTGAGGCATTTCCCTGCAGGTCTTGCAACTTATTATGAACAGCAGGTGTTGAGCATGGAACATAAAACAATGGTGGACATTACACAACCCGTTTTTTTTTTCTCGAGTGAATGCTCCTTGGGTTGCGTTTAAGGTCAATTAGATATTCTAAAAATCATATACAAATATACTTTTTGTGCTCGAAGCAATATTGTTATGTAATAAATGTAGTTGACTGATTCATATAATACATATTTTTTTCCTTTTAAAATAATTAATGTTTTGGTATTATTATGTTAAGTGTTAGGTAAATGTTTAAGAAGCACCACAAAAGGCGATTAATAAAGCTTTAAACAAACAAATGTATACTTTTATTGTGGTAATCTCCTCAGGTACCCTTCTTTAAAATGTGGGTGTCTTAAGTATGTACGATATTTCCACTCTAGAAACTCACCTATGACTAGGGCCAGACAGAATCTGCGGACATGTTTTGTTATTTCTGCGGAGAATTGTGTTAAAGATCTGCGGATTTATGCGGAATTATTTTGGGAGTATCAAAACCTTAATATATGAAATAAAAAGTATCACCGTTTCAACTTTTATGTAATGTTTACAATGCAAATCCAATTAGATCAACTTATTTAATAAACAAAGCAAGTCTATCATATAATAGATCTACTAAAAGATCATATTAATACTTTCATATTAGTCAATAATATTACTGTAATTCATTAAAAAAGCTGAATAAATATAAATGTACACACATTTACACAAGTAAATAAATATACTCAATGATAGGCTAGAAATCTGCAGAAATCTGTGACATACATCAAAAGTCTAATGATTTTTGGCAGCTATGGACACCTTTTTGGCATTACATTAATAATTTCTCCTGATTTTCTATTCTATGGTGCATAATTAGCTCCTAGCCTGACTGTATTATCCTGTTTACTTGTTTGAATATTTCCCATTATCCCTACTTATATTATATTATAGGGTGATTCAAAAAGAATATCACAACTTTGAAAATATTTATTTGATCAAAGAAACATGATGCAACCTTGGGTAATTAATTAATCAATGTAAAGAGTACATTATTTTTTTAAACTTCAGAGCTTCGTTAAATCAACGACAGCCAGAGCTTAGCTCTCCATTTCTTCTTTGCATAGTTCTCGATTTTTAAAATTTGTTGTATTCTTTTTGAATTACCCTGTATTACTGTTTCCCTCTGAGTCCAAAGACATGCGGTACAGGTGAATTGAATAAGCTAAATCAGCCATAGCATATGTAAAAGTGTGCAAGAGTATGCGTGGGGGTTTCCCAGTGTTGGGTTGCGGCTGGAAGGCCGTTCACTGCGTGAAACGTGCAGATATGTTTATATCAATATATGATGAGGCAGTGGCGCAGTAGGTAGTGCTGTCGCCTCACAGCAAGCAGATCGCTGGTTCGAACCTCGGCTCAGTTGGCGTTTCTGTGTGGAGTTTGCATGTTCTCCCTGCCTTCGCGTGGGTTTCCTCCAGGCGCTCTGGTTTCCCCCACAGTCCAAAGACATGTGGTACAAGTGAATTGAGTAGGCTAAACTGTCCGTAGTGTATGAGTGTGTGTGTGAATGTGTGTGTGGATGTTTCTCAGAGATGGGTTGCGGCTGGAAGGGCATCAGCTGCGTAAAAACTTGCTGGATAAGTTGGGGGTTCATTCCGCTGTGCCCCGGATTGATAAAGGGACTAAGCCGACAAGAAAATAAATGAATGAATGAATGAATATATTTATATAATAAAAATATTATATATATATATATATATATATATATATATATATATATATATATATATATATATATATATATATATAAATAAATAAAGTTTTAAACTAAAATTAATCTAGACTAAAACTAAAAACTTTTCCCATTCATCAATCTACCCAGTTGTACATCTATCTATTCATCCATCTGCATGTCCATCCATACATCCATCTATCAATCAATGCATATACCTATCTGACCACCCACCCATCCACCCATCCATCCATCCATCCATCCATCCATCCATCCATCCATCCATCCATCCATGTCAAATTAAGTATACATCTATCCATCCATCTGTACATCTGTCCATCCATGCATCTGTTGTGGATATCCATCTGTATGTCACTCTACCATGCATCAACCCATCTTTCTACTGTATCTGTCCATCCATCTATCTGTATGTTCGTCCATCCATCTGTCTGGCTATCCTTCCATGCCTCAACTCAACACATCTTTTTGCCCATACATCGATCCATCTATCCATAGTCATGTACATTTGGTGCCATTATCAGATTTATGTACAGCACCTAAACAGTTTTTACAGTCTCGTTTGATATTTTAAGCCATAACCAGTGTCACCATGAATAAATTATTGATATGCTCTAAAAGATCACGAAACAACATCTGTCAAAAGTTTGCCGTTTTACAGCGAAACAAACTAAGTTTTACTGCCCCAAATTCACAGCTACGATCAGCAGGAGCAGAGGAATGCTAATGTAATTAGACAGCAGGCAGGACGGTTGCTCTTTTTCATTTTCTGGTCCCGAAAGCAAGAACGTGTGTGCAGTATAGATGTGGTGGGGGGTGGTGGGGAATGACCCACTTTACTCGGCACTGCAGAACATCTCAAGCAAAGCATCATGGGTGCAGCACTCCAGAAGAGTTTAACCCTAATATGTTGCGTTGTGTGGTCCTGTCAGCGTCAATGAATTGTTTAATGGCCGACATTAGCCGTGTTGACATCACTGATCACCAAACCAGCACATCTCATTTTGTATGATTAAACATTAACACTGTGAGGCATTAGTGATTTGATGCACGCCTGCTTGCACAGAGCAAATGAATAATTTGTTATCTGTGATGAAACGAGCAAACGCTGAGCCAATGGCTGCTTGGTAAACAGTTGCACTAATATTTTTCTGGCAAGACAACAGATAAAAAGCTCAAGAACACAAATGAGACCCTGGCACAAAGATCAAAAGAGCTACACAGATAATGCAACTGGAAAAGCTACATTTTAATCACAACATGCTGCGGATATTTAGATTTTGCAGATAAAATGTGAGGAGAGTCTGTTCTTATCAGACAAACCGTGGAAGTGTGTTTGCTCTTCATCAAACACCTCAAAAGAGCGCCAGAGAAAGTTTAAAGGAAGACATCTATGCACACTAACAAACAAATTATGATTTTAAAAAGACATTAAACGTGTATTCCCAAAGCAAACTTTTAATCATAAACAGGCTCTTTATAAACAGAAAACATTCTGTCCTAGCTCGCTTTGTGGACAGCTGAGGCAGTGCCAGATGAAAGCTGCAGATAATCAGACAGATAGCCAGCAAACGTACGTACCAAGTCCTGAGTGGGCAGTGAAAGACTGCTGGCCCTCACGTCCTCCATGTCCGGCTCCATGTTCTCCTTCTCCTCCCCGGGGGACGGAGAGGCGTCCGGACCCGAGCACGTGCTCACTAGGTCGGGCAAGCTGGTGGACGGGTACTTGTGGAAGTCAACTTCGGACTCATCCTGGGAAAGGAAGGAAGAGCAGCTGGAGAGAGCATGTTGTGTGCCGTTGAGCAGCCTGCGAGTATTTTTAACTTTATCTCAGAAAGCCGAGCGGCGAGCCCATCAGCGCTTCACTCTTCAATTTTTTAGCTGCTACAAGCATCTGTGTGTGACATTTCTATGTGCTTGAACGGCTGACACACTTTATAAGGAGAACAGCTCATGAAGACACTTTCCTGCGCAATATGAGGCTCATTTGCTCTCAAACTCACCCTGCTGGCCACCACCAGCTGCACCAGTCCAGCAGTGGAGCGCAGTATGGCCACAGCCTCCTGGTGTGAAAGGCCAACCAGAGAGTGACCGTTTATCATCAGTAACTCATCGCCTGCCTTCAGACGGCCATCTCTGAAATCAAAAAAGTTGTCAGAAAGCAAAATTAGGTCGTGCTTTTACTTGAAAAAAGACAGAAGAAACTCCTGATATCACGTCTCAGCTATTAAAGTGAAATGTTAATTGGATGCTAATGAATGTTGGTCAAAAAATTATAAGATCACGACAAGTTGCTTCTATGTGATGGGAATATCAATGTAAATAATGTCGACAAGAGACAATGACAATATGTGTCGGATCATGAAGGAAACAAGCTACATTTCATGTTAAATATTAATTGTTCTTCAGATATTTCTCTTTAAATACAATCAAATGATCACCTTTATGTACAGTATAGTGGCCCACATTAGATTTGAAAATATACCACCACTAAAAATATACAAAATTCAGCCATTTGCTCACTAAGCAATGTTGTGACACATTGTGAAATGGCACCATATGGGATTTAGGAATAAAATTTACAAAAGAAAGAATAATTATGACTGAGAATCTAAAAGAGATTTACATTTCTTTAATATTTCTAGAACTTTCTGGAAAAAAAACTTCAACTGTTCTGCTCAATCGCTTTGATAAAGGGAGACGAGATTCATTTCTAATTTCAAAATGATTTGTTCTTAGGAAATTTATTTACATTTTTTTTTAAATTGTGTAAAACTGTTTCTTAAAATAAATGTACTCATAAAAGTAGATTTAAAGGAATAGTTCACCTAAAACTGAAAGTTTATTTACTCACCCTCAAATCTGTTTGCGTTATAGGTTTCTTTTTCTGCTGTTGAGCACAAAAGAAGATATTTTGAAGTAATCTGGAAACCTGTAACCATTGACTTCCATAGTAGTAAAAAAAATACCATGAAAGTCAATGGTTTTCAGCATTCTTCAAAATATATTTTTTTTGTGTAAAACAGAGCAAAAGAAATAGGGCTGCACAATATATCATAATATGATTTTTTAATAGAATTCTGGCATGAGAAATTGTACAGTTTGTAACTTTAAAAATGAATCATTTGTTTAATTAGTTTTATTTTTATTAGTCAATTACTGTTCTTAAATACGGAAAGACTTAAAAAATGATAATAAATCACTGCTTCAAGACTTCACACTTAGTTGATGATTATTTATAAAACATGTTTGGCATGTTGTCCCGGAAGAGAGCTCTGAGCCCATAACATCCTCGAGCCCGGGGTGCTTGCAGGGCGAGAGGAGAGTTTGAGCTCAGTTAGGTCTCGAGAACTCCTCTTCTTATTTATGGCTAATGATGAATTAGGGATTACTACAGAGAAATATGCAGCTGATTAAGAGCTCATCTACAGTATGGTGCTAATTTGGTTTGGTCAATTCACCTATGTCGCAAGTTTTTGGACTGTGGAAGGAAACCAGAGAAGCCGGGGGAAACCCACGCGAGCACAGGGAGAACATGTAAACTCCACAGAGAAACGTCAATTGGCCTGTTAAAGACTTGGACCAGTGACATTCTTGCTGTGAGGCAACAGTGCTAACCATTAGGTTGCTGTGCCGCCCTATCAAGGAAAAGGGAGGAGTAGGGGTGCGGAAGGGGGATTCTTCAAAACGAAGGTAACTGAGGTAAGAAACTCTGTTTTTTAATAGTGAGTTAGGAATCATCCGATTGGTGAATCACGTATTGCTTAATGCGAAACCAGCTGTGGTCAATCATAGGCACGTAATCCTCTCAAAATTAGTTCATAAATAAACCACACTGATTTCAATTGTGTTTTTTTTTACTGTATTTATCTATGTTTGTAGATTGTTTATGAAATTATATGGAGATGCAATTCTATTTAAAATTATCACAATCATTCTAAAAATGATTTTTTTTCCAACTATCTTTTTTCCGAACTATTTTTTTCCGAACAATGTTCGATTTTTCCAATATCGTGCAGCCCTAAAAAACCCATACAGGTTTGAAACCACGTGTGGGGAAAGTAATTTATTTATTTTTTTACATTTATGTGAACTATCCCTTTAAATCTCTATCTCAGAAAATGAACCATAGAGGACCTTTAAAATGATGACTTTATAAGAAAAGTTTGTTTAGAACCAAAAATCTAAAAGTAAGGTCTAATCTAATCTTAAAAGTAAGGTTTAAAAATCTAAATCTAAGGTGCAAATATCCAAACGATGAAATAATATGGACTTCTTCATGCAAATTTTAAGCTACAGCAATGATATCCCACAAAGACATCTCTGTGTCTGCTACATTCTTTCATTTCTGAATATCCTCAGACAGTTTCAGCCTGACTGCTCAACTGAGGCTTCATTACGATGAACAGTGTGCAGTGAAGAGAGAAAGAGTCTACATTTTAAAACCTCTCCCTGGTCAGAATCCTCAGGGCTTCAGTCATAGACGTAGCAATCTGAGGTTATCTCGGTGTTAGCTGTTATGTAAGAGCAAGGAACTCCATAACTACCCAAATCATGCTGGACTTTTGGCCCTGATCTGACAACACTAGAAAGCTCGCACTGGAAACCGGCCAATTTGACCAGTATGCATGATTGATGTCTATAGGTCTCTCAGAAATGGCCTCCCATTAAAACTATGTGGGAGGAAATGTTGTGCTGTTAAATTATAACAATAAAACCGAGCACTGGTCAAACCAAAAATAGTCCGCTGTGGGGGAGCTGCATATACACTGCAAAGTGAATCTGTATTTCCTGAAATTTATTATTTTTGGGGTTGGGGAATGGGGATAGAGGATTGCAGAGCAAAACCACAAGAGCTCAAATTTCCTGAACACGTCTATTTATCATCACCTAGTGGGAGTAATTTAAATTCGTTTTCTAATTTTCACAATTCTGAACTGATTTCTAAATTCAGCCTATGGCTCATTTCCATCAGGCTGTTGTGCTTCCTCCAAACCTAGCCAAAGTGTGCATTAATGAATTAAAAAGGGAAGCACATCAGCAAGGTCTCCAATGTGTTACAGCTTAAAAGCAGTTTAAGAGGTAACAATGTGGATGGAGAGAAAACGTTTTCTGAAGTAATAAATTCCATACTGCCTGTGTGAAGTGAAGAGATATTTCATGCTAGGATTATATGCTGGATCTTGTCTTGTTTTGCGAAGTATTTGCTTTTATATCACGGTACTACAAATCCCTAGAGGTGGAAATCTGCAGGAACAACTTGGATAACCTAACCATAATAGAGTACAGTGCTTACCACAGGTTTGAAATATACTTGTTGTGGTAGCCAGATTGAAACACTCCAATTACCCACATGAAATAAATAGTTATCTTTATGCGACAAACAAAACATAATTTAATTTTTAACAATAATTGCATTAATTATGACAATATTTTACATATTTTACTACACTTCATTTTTATAACATGTTATGCACTGTTTCTTTTCAATGGTTTAAAGTAAAAAAAGACTGTTCATAAAAAAAAGAAATGCACTATTTCTCTTACTTTTATGCCTTTTTAAGAGCCATGTGCACACACTGACAGGTAAAAGCTGCTTCTCTGTCTCTTTCAAGTCATAAGCAAACTTAAATGCCAACATATTTTAGATATATACAGTTAAAGTCAGAATTATTAGCTCCCTTTGAATTTTTTTTTATATTTCCCAAATTATGTTTTACAGAGCAACACTGCAAAAATGCTTTTCTTGCTTAGATTGTTTGTCTTGTTTCTAGTCTAAATATCTAAAATTTATCAAGAATAATTTTCTAGACAAGCACAACATATTGTCTTGTTTTGAGAAATAATATGCCAATTTTTCCTTAAAACAAGCAAAATAATCTGCCAATGGGGTAAGCAAATTAATCTTGTTCTTTTCTTTTGACGTAAGATTATAGTTTTGGTATTGAGGGTGGAAGAAAGAGCTGTTTGTGCACTCCTTCCACCTACAATCACTGTTGAACCTGAAACTCGAACCCACAACCTTCGTGGCACAAGTCTGACTGCCTCAATTTTAATAAATATTCAGGATTTATTCGCAATTAATTAACAATTGTTTGTTTTTGTTCCTATAAACAATAATGTAAAATAAATAACGTAACTTTTAACTTTGGTTGGTGAAATGTTCCAATACTCTGAATTTTAGTTAATCTCTGCTAAATAAGAGAGTGTCATTAAAGACAACAGCACAGTAAACTTAACATACAGCGCAAACATGACTGTAACTCGAAGCTTCTAATACTTCACAAACCGGTCATTACCATAGACAGTACATGGCAGCGTAACTGTATGCTCAGTGTCCGTCCATATGAGAATGACACAGTGGCTTTGAAGATAAATGATTATGATGGAGGGCACTTGAGACCTCTGGCACTCGCATATGCATGAGACGCTCTGTGATCAGGGTCATCACTGCACCTCCTGTTGCCACAGCAGCAAATCAAAACCTATGCAAATGAAAGCCATTCCTCTGTTTACCTCTGTGTGGCTCCTCCCTCCTCCACATGGGCCACGATGATGCCGTGAGGCGAGCGTTTGGACCCTCGGCCTCCTGTGATCTGGATGCCCAGGCCATCCTGACCCTTCACCATGTGCATCTTCCAGATCCGGCCACCCTCGCGGGGCTGAGGATAAAAACAGAGGGGGGATATTTATAACGTATGGTGGAACAATCAGGAATGTGCTTTATTATATAACACTAAACAAACTGCTGCAGCTGTTTTGTGGTTTTAACTTACACTGCAGTTCTCAAGCTGCTTCCCATTTTATGCTGTGTATCATGTAAAAATAATTACTGGTAATCTCAGGAAAGACATTTCAGCAAATTATTAAGAAAACGTTTATTTAAATTTCTGGTAATTTGTATCTAATTATCATCACATTGTGGGGAAATGGGTTTTGTAAAATGTTTTGTAAAAAACTTGTAAGAACTGAAATGTGTGGGGGTTTTTTTTATTCAGGCTTACATCCACTTTTGGAAAGGACATACATAAGGAGAAGGGAGATTTAAGAGAACCTGTTTCTGACAGCTTCAAGAGCTACTTTTCTCATTGTCTGAGCTTAACGGTCCACTGACATTATTCTTCATTAATGCATTTGCTCTAACAGACTAAAATAACATTTAGGCTCAAAAATCAATAAAGCTTCATGAAATGACAAAGCAGACAGAAAAGTATTAAAACAAAGCATTTTTTAATCATGTACCTCAGTTTTTATATGCATGGACATTAAAGCACACCTTGGTTACCCCTTTTTCCAGATTTTTCCAGACAAGTCTTTTACAAAATGTGTCTGTAAAGTTTCAGCTCAAAACACCCATCAGATTGTTTATTATACCTTTCTGAAGTTCCTATTTTATAGCTCTGAGCAGCAGGTAGTGTTTTTTGTGAACTGTGCCTATAATGCTCCTCCACGCCCACTGTTCCCACGTGCCTGTCAGACACACACATACACCGTGGACACACACACAGACAGCGCGTTTAGCTTTGCACTCTTTTAGCACGGCAAATGTGACAGGATACACATTAATATCCACTGCTGTATGGATATCTGTTATGTTAATGTACAAAATAAACCGGATTTAATGTCCACAAACCGTGATTGAAGCGTCTTCTTTTATAATTGTTCTGACATGCGGCTGTGGTGATGAAATAAAGCTGAAGTAAATTGCTGTGATTGATTACAAACATGCACCGTTTTAAAACATTTTAAACTTGTAAAACTCATTCTTTATTACATCTGATGAGGATTGATGATCCTAGCAAACTGAACAGATCTTTTATTCACGGTTGCTTTGCGCATGTCCTGAAATTATTATACGCATTACTACGGAGACATGTTAATACACAGCTGTCAGTGAATTTGGTGGGCGGGGAAATAGCACTCTTACGTCAAGTTGCGGTCGGCCTCAAAATAGGAGGGATTTGGATCCTATTTTAACATCAGATGTAAAAAAAAAAAATTTAATAAAAAATTAATAAAAAAAGAGACTTATTGTGTTTATATCACGGCAATATGACAGTGGACACACTATATCTAGACATAGTTCTGTCCAAACAGATTTTCACTATAGGTGTCCTTTAAAAGCAATTGAAAATATTTGTGCAAGAAAACATTCATTTGCTCATTATTTCTATTTACCAAAACTTTTATACACTGATAAACGTTAATTATAATTAACAATACTTAAATAAATCTTTAATTTTGACTTATACAATGTATTTTTGCCTATTGCTAAAATATATCCATGCAACATAACACTGGTTTTGTGATCTTGGGTCAAAAAAAAAAAAAAAATTAAAAGAAAATTAAATTAACAGACAACTTTAAAACAGATTTTACAATGTGTCAACATCTGAAGAAGAACGTTATGAAAACATGATAATTTTGTATAGATTATTTGCTACATAACAAGGAAGATGCAAGGCCATTATTTTGTGTTAAAGGGCACCTATTTTACCTCTTTTACAAGATGTGGTCACGTGATGTGCATTTTCGGTGGTGTTATGTAGATATAGAGTTGTTTAGAAATATTAGGTGAAACGCCAGTTAGGACGTGGATCGTTTTCATTCTAAAATGCCGTTTTAAAACAAAAACGTATTAGTGTAAATGGGGCCTGGGTACAGTGTAGCTGTTTTTGTAGCCTGTGGCTTTAAATCTAAATGAGCTGCTTCATCCCGCCCACCGCATGTCTGCTTCTCATAATGCGTTAGATCAGATAAACAGCAGTCAGTGATAGAGACAGACACAGACGAAGCTGAAAAAAAGGTCACGAGTCAAAAATACCAAGAAGTTTATTAAATGTATTTGTGATGGAGTCGATTCAAGCCATTCTGAAACGATGAGTCTCACACAAATGCTATTTGCAGTACGCACACACACACACACGCACGCACACACACACACATCTACTGACATCATGCAACCATGGTGATGAGGAGGTTATATACAAATACATACAATACATGTCCATGTTCAAGCATTTTATAGGGTGTGGTTAACCCACTAACATCCATATAGCAAATTTTGTTCAGAACAATTGGGACAAAAACCAGTGAACCTTTACCTGAAGATTCACTCTGACTAAAATCAGTGAGTTGTTAACAGGATACTCGCTCTGATCAGATCATTTGAATCAGAGAATCCATAACTTAAGACTATGGCCGTGTTGGAAATCGTCAACTACTCATATAGTTACAACGTTTGAATTTGAATGTACAACATGGCTGTTAGAACAGTATGTTCTATATCTACAGCATCTCACCAGAAGTACTAGTACCTTATAATGAGGTAAAAATTGAGTTACATCTAATAGTTTCATGAAACCCAGTCACCATTTTTTAGGCTTAGGCAAAGTAAAAGCAACTGATTTTTTTTTTCATACAACAAGATTTAACAAAACCAAATCCTTATTTGTTATGTAAATATAATGAATCTATGCAGATTGTGTTCTCATAATCTGTATATTGTAAACTGATTTTGCTAGTATTGCAAGACTCTACTGTCCATCTTCCTTGAAAGGCAGTGTTCAAACGCATTAATTCATTTTAGCCACTGAGCCATTTATAGCTATTGTGCCTGACATCAAAGCTTTTATAACAGTATACACTGACACAGGAGCCCATGAATTTTCAAACATCCTTTCAAAAGAGTGTCATGAAATTAGCCTAAAAATACATTTTAAAAGTATTCTGAAAATAATCCCTTAATATATGAATATGATCTTACATAACCTTTCTTTTATATTCTGTTGTTAAGGGTTTTGAAACTGAAACCGGTTTTTGAACTATAGAGAAATATTAAAATATTTATCCAATCACAGGAAACAATGGTCAACATCAGAAGCTAACAGGGAGAGAAAGATAACATTGTGAAACCCATATTAAAACCAGCAAGATGTTGACAAAATTCAAAGAGAAGCATTGAGATTCATCACAGGTGAAGAACTTGTTTATGAATAAGCTAAACAAGTAGATATTAGCCAATGACTGGATAAAATATGGACAACGTCGCAGTGACTTTTTAGACTGAACGATTTGAAGGCAAAATGCCTCGTGACGGGTACAAACTGTCGCAAAAGACTGCTGAAATTGGAGCCTGAGCATGCTCAGAAGGAACTACCAAATGGAGCCAGAAATAGAGCCACGGAATTAAGCTTCCAACAAAACGTTTGTACGTCAAATCAACCACGCCCCCTTCATTTGACCACCTGTATCTGCACTATAGCAAAGGCTCGCTAGTATAAATATAAGCACTTACATTTAACAAGTAATTAAACACTATTTATTTTAAAAACCGATGTGATGTAAACTGTCATAATTTAAAAAAGCAATACATGTTAGACTGCAAAAATAAACAATCTTCATCATTATCTTCACAGGGGTAGAAATATCAATCAACAGGACCCAAAATATACACACCATATATAACGATTTACTATGCAGGAAAAGTTGTGCGTTTAATAGATTAACACGGCAAGATTTCTAAATATCAACAGGATATTTACACATCCAATCCCTGCACTATAAAAAATAATCTTTGTCAATTTGTACAATAAACTTAGCAGTATTAATACATCAACTGAAGTCTATCAGCTGCGGCAACATTGCTTGTTTATCATTTGCCTCCATTTTCATTTGGTTTGTTCGATGCCTTCATTATATCTGGCAAAGAGGAATTTACATTCATTTTAATGTGTATTAGGAGTTTCAAATAAAAAGCCAAAAGTAAATGATGTATATAAATATTATAATATTTATAGCTCTATTTGTTATATAAGATTCGGTTTCTAGAAAATTAATATTTTATAACAGCAAATTCAGTATTAACTTGATAACATGCCGAAATTTTATCATGGTACAATAACACAGAAATGGAATAATAACACTTTAATCTCCTCCTGAAGCTCCTATGATCTGCTTTGAGAAACTGTCAATCACAACTGGCAGACACACCCTGTTTTTATAGAATTAAATTACTGGCTAAAAACATACTGTGTACAAAAATGATCATCTGAGCCTCTATCCGTATGATAACGAGTGACTTACTTGACCAAAAACCATCTTTCGGGACATTTAATTGCAAGTGTAATTAGTTTTTTTTATTTGGGCTCAAGTCTCATCGATTAACACGGAGGAGGCGGGCTTTATGACTTTTATGAGTAAGGCTTGGTACTGCAGCCAGCCCCCAGGGGGCGATCTAACGGCCGGGACCTTCACTCAAAAGCAGGCGTGTGGCATACTTGATATTAGCTAACAGTGTTGGGGGCAATTACATAATAATACTTTTCCAAAGTAATGAGTGAAGCAACACGTTTCTTTTAAAAATAAGATCTTTCCAAAAAAAAAATGTAACAAGTTTTACTTTTTAACTTGTTCAAGAGAATTTTTGTTAGGTGTACATCATGTTTAAGTAAAACTCTTGACAACTGCAAGAAACACGACATTGAAAAAAACAAACAAACAAAATTGGATGCGAAGCACTACACCAGCACCCCACTTACAGCTAAACAACAAATGATTGACAACAGTTCACGTTATTATTAATTAATTCAACTAAACAAAAAAAAAATGGTTATTGTTGAGGAGATGCAGCCACTGTCTAACATTACTGTAAGAGAAGTTT